CCATACTAGGACAGCTTAGTGGGCCCTGCATAATTCAGATCTGCTCCAGTGCTCTGATAAATTATTACTTGGCAGAGAAATCTCCATTGTGGCCATTGCACAAATGCTTTACTAAATCACTGGTAGAAATCAAAATGTGTGAGTTCATTAGCAAGGTAGGCAGAAAGTGTAGACTTTGGTGTTTTGTATTAATCCAATGTGCTGGACTAACAGAACCTTATTTGAAGACTATGTTATAAGAGGAAGAATAAAAACTATATAGCAATACCATGTGGCTTCTGATTTGGGAACTACAATTTAGCCTATTAGACATGGACCTGTTCCAAAAGTGCACATTCAAACAATCATGCATGAAGGAGTTAGAAACACAGATGTGAATTATAACTCTGAAATCCTGGGAATGCTCCAAATCAGGCCATTAGAGGTAGGTTTGAACTGTAAGTACACGTTCAGATTTAAAATTTTTGTTCAAACCTGTCTTTCCATAACAGTTTTACAGCAACTACTGAATATATTAAAACCAACAATGTTCCATAAGCTTAAGAAAAAATACCAGTTAACCCCATCTTAGCCATATTCAGATGTGACCCTCAATGGCTGTCTAAAAACATTTCTGTAAAAAGGCAGTAATAAAAATCATCAGTTGAATGTAGTGAGACAGTTTAAATAGGTCAAATTCAAGATGGATTACAGCTCCATTGGCCAAATAGAGATTCACAGCGATCACTTTGGCCCAGTATTTAACATTAGAAACATAAATAATTTAAGGATTTTCTTTTCCAAGTTTGGGACAGAACTTTGAAACATCTGGTCTCTTTTCAGTCCCTTTTCCATACACATGCCAAAGGCAACGTTTTTGACTGCAGCAATAGTGTTGTGTGGGACTGAGGTGGGCCTTTTCACAAGCATACAAGTGGTAGAGGATAGAAAATGTCCCCCATAACACTGGATAAGGCACAGAAGGAGCAGTGAAGGGACACCTGACATTTTTCAGTGCTCTCAACACCAGGAAACTGAAGGTCCCAAATGTATGCAAATACTCAGTTCATTGATGCTTTTATCTGTAGACTTCATTAATGCACATTTCTCTTTTTTTTTATAAGTCAAACATATTTGCAAGTGAGTCACAATGATTCTTCTCATGTAAAAGATGTAGAAAGTGTGGCCCAAACCAGTCTGGCCTTGGCCACCAGGTACTGTGTAATAAGAGAATCAGTAATAGAAACTGGGTCTGCTGAATCAGGTCTAGTACTGTATCTGCAAAGCACCACTCTCTCAATTGCTGATCTCAATGCCTGCTGATTAAAAACCAGATTTCCACACCTTGAACGGGACAAATGAACCCACAGCTCATCGTCTAAAACCATTCTCCATTAATAGGACTTCAGAAACAGCCAATCAAAAGGGATCATGAGGAGCACAGAGACAACGGCAGAGCAGCATTGTACAGACACAAATCAAAAAGCATTTTGCCCTTTTTAAATGGCCTGGTAATAACGACTACCACTCTTATAAACTGTTGTAAGTGTGCATCTTAATAACATAATGCAGCACTAGGTATTTTCAGGAATTCGTCTCACAGTCTAACATTTTGTGTCATGCAGTAGCAGGAGAGATGTCAAAACAAAATGTATAAGGCCCCTTTTGAAGTGTGTAGTCACAGTTCGTGTTGATATCAAAATGATATCAAAATTTGAATGAGCAACTTCAGAACTGCACTCTCAAAGATTATGAAATGTTTTAATAAATATACCATATCTGATGGGAGAAAAGTACACAGTACTTAATGTAAGTACTTACAAATCTAAAAGATGGCTTTAAAAAATTCCAAAATAGTTCTCATATCTTGCATTATTTGAGAATAAACCACAAAAGTAAGGCTGAATGAGTATGATTGGATTGTGTATTTTGAATGACACTAAAGCATAAATCCACCCAGAAGAGTTTTCTACATTTACAGGTTTCTGAAAAAGATAATTGGTTTTAGTGTCTGTAGCAGCAAACTCCACACAGAAGTGTTGTTCTGTTGTAGATTTCTGAAAGTTTCAAAGTATACATACTCCAAATAAACAAGGAATAAATTTTAGTTGTCTAAAGGGAGAGGTGCTAGGGTTGTTGAGGAGAACTTTTCAAGCCCTTTAAAACTGCTGAGCTCAGAGAGGTGGTAGATCAGAAACCTGAGAGAGAATAGATGTAAAGAACAAGACAAAAGCAATAGCAGGACAAGTTTTTTAAAGTGATACAGAATCATCATTTAGAGTCATAACATTTGGTCGGTTCTCAGGCTCTCTGCTGGAATTGGTCCCTCAGGACAAGACTAACATTTTAGTTGTATCACCAAGTAGCAGTTCCGAATTATCTGCCATTGCGTCAAATTAGATTCAGTAACCCAGAAATTAAAGGGTCCCCATCTCCTAAATCCTGTCCAATTGCCCAATATTTCTTTAAAATTAACATATAAAATGGAAATAATGATATGACATGTAGTTCTAGCATTACTAATACATGTGATCCTTCTTAACTGCATGCCAAAGACATGGCCTATAAATGGTAGTGCATGTGTGTGTATGTACACACATATATATTTCACTTAACATGGAGACAGAACTGCAGACTGGATCAAGAGGAAGCTTCGGTTTGCAGAACTTCGAGTGAATAGGGCCAGTTTGCAAAACTCTACTCATTCACTGAAATACAACAAGTTCTTTTTGGGTTTAAGTTTGATTGAGGTGTATGGTATAAATCATAATAACTGTCTGGGACAGTAGTTTTTGCTTGAGGTAAATTTGCTGGTAAATTTTTGTTAATAATTTGGCAAGGCTGAAACATACTCCTGAAGAGACAAGTATCTGGATAATGTTTTTAAATTTTGAAGTAATCGAAATGTTATTCAGCCGGAACTACCAGCATTAGATAAGTAATATCTACACATTATTTAACTGCCTCAAAATGCCTTGAAGGCAAGAATACAGCAAAACAGAAACTGCCTGCCACATTTCAGCATTTGGTTGCGTGTACTGTACTGACCACAGCAGTAAAAGGTTGCCTTCCACATGCTTTTTAGACTGACATACATCAGTGCATTTATGGCATTTCATGAATCTTCTTTGCCTTTCACATCAATGAGTGGTAGGCCACACAGTACCACATGTGCTCTGCTCATTACAAGATGCTGTGTTCCACCCTCCTCAGATGTACTGAGCATTAAAGTTTGTTGCATTTGTGAAATTTGGGAAAACATAAAAACCAGAGACAAGTGTTTAATGTTTTACTCTCTTGTGGCTTCCACCCAAGATATCATCCTCAGGTAATGTCAGATGAGCAAACAACCCAAACATGGCATGCATGAAGCCAGCTATGAACTGGGGGGAAGTAGGAACTGAACCAGTGATCTCCCTTCCTCCTTGTGTGAGAATATATGAGCATGGCAGCTATGTCCAGAAAATAAAGTGTCTTCCTTCCCTGACAGCCTGTTTGAAGCAATTCCCAATAGAAATCCCTTACAATTCTGGGTCATTATGTCAAGAGTGGAAGACTATTAGTTGTCATTAGTTGCCACTCCTCACTGAAGGGGAAAGCACTCTTGAGCGGTCCCTAGCAGTATGATCTAAGAGCTCCAAGTGAAGAACTTTTACTTCTGACAAAGGAGACAGGGCTGCATGGCTTGTTCTTCTTGTCCAAGAGATTGGAACGAGCAGCAGAAAACAGTCCCACCCCTAACTCAGGGCTAGTCCTCGGGAACTCAGCCACCTGCCTTTCTTCTTTGTGCAGCAAAGAGTGGACCCAACAACTTTGTGGCTGGGGACTGGTGCTTAAAGTGGTCTGAAAAATGTGGGGAGGTCTATCATCATCCTGCCCCTTGCCTAGCAGTTAATCCTGCCCCTGCCCCTTTTAACTCCCCAATTAATCTGTTGTCCTCAGCCCCAACATCAACTGTGCCCCAAGTCTTTTTATAACTTTTTAAAAGTAGGGAGAGCTACACAAGAGCTATGAGCACCTGCAAACATCTGGTGAGTAATGCCTTGGGTGGAATGACATTTTACAAAAGTTCTCAATCCCATCTGTGTCCTGATAGATTTTAAGCCTTTCTTGTGGATTGAAACTCAGAAATGGGGCCAAAGGTGTACTCTGGACCAGGAATCAGACTGAACTTGGAGCAAACCACAACAGCATTTGACTTTATAATAACTCACAGACCTCAGGAGTTATCCTTGATGAACAGAAGTTGCATGAATTGCACAGTGAGAGCATAATGTGCCAAGACACACTGCTTCAAGGTTGTCAGTTCAATGCAGTGTTTTTCTTATTCATTAGATCAGGCACTGAAGAACTGGGTTTCATTACAGGATCTTTAAGACTGAGACTACCTAGTAGTGTGTGCCTTGCACACTTCAGTGGAATCTTACTCTGATTTGAGCCTCAAGGTGTATTATTAAATTATTAACACAAGAGTCAGTATCACAATCAGGTTGGTATGGAACACATCAGAAGATATTTATTTTCTACCCTTGATAATTGTCCCACGGTTCTTAATAATACTCCAAGTCATCATCTTTGCTCTGGAAATGTAAGAACAAACCTTGCATGCACATTATATTTATGTCTCCTGGCCACCTCCATTGAATGTCTCTGCATTCCCTTCCTCAGAGAGATTTATTGTGCCTGAAAAGGTAACAGAATGTCATTGCTGTGTTGTAGCCAGTTGAAATAATCAGAACAGTTCTTCAATAAATGCATCAAAAAGAGAGAGATAAGGTGTGGTGGGACATGCCCTCACCAGCAGCCAGTCTCCCACGCAGCTGCTCACTCACTCATTTCCACCCTCCACCACCGCACAACAGGACAAAGGGTGAAAACAGGAAAAACAGAAAAGAGAATGCTTTTGGGTCAAGATAAAGACAAGGAGATAGATTACCAATTTTTTTACAGGCAAAACAAAAACTTAAACTGGGGAAATGAATGTACTGCCAGTTAGAATAAATCATTAATGATTCGGGGGAGGGGAAAAGAAGAAGCTAGCATTTACACACTTGGAGAAAACACTTTTTCTCCACCTTTTCCAGGTTCAAGTTCACTCCAAGCACTTCTCCTCTCCTCCTTGCTATCACCACCAGTTGCACTCAGTCCCTTCAGTGTGGCACTGTGAAGCTCCTTCTTCCTTCTCACTCTTTTCCTCTGCTGCAGCCTGGGTCCTCTATAGACTGAAGGAATGTCTGCTCCAACACAGAGTACCTCCTTCTCAACCTGCTCCCCAACCTCCTCTTCCACCTCCTCCTCTGGCCTTGGTATTCCCTCTGTTGTTTATCACTCTTTTTATTCCATCCTCTCCTCTCTAGATTTCTTTGCTCTTTCTAAAATGTGTTTCCCCAAGGTGCCACCGTCTTGCCTGAGGGAATCAGCCATATCCTATGATGGATACAATTGGAACTGGCTGTGCCAGGCACAGGGCAGCCCTGGCCTCTGCTTACAGCCCTTCTCCTGCCAGCACTTTGCCATTTATCCCCAACAGACAAGGTTACCTTCTCAGTAACAAAGTGGAGGGAAACTGCCCGTCAGGAGGAACAGTGGTCTCGTGTAGCACAGCTGAGGCAAATGCCCAAAGGGTCATGGTGGAAGAAGAGGAAACCACTCAAAGGCAGTAGGGACACTTGAGCTATTATGAGGGACTGAGCAGGGCAGGCAAATTTCCAGTGGCATTAGAGTGGGCTGCAACTGAAGCTGATGGGAGAGACCTCTCAAATCACTCAGGACCTTGAATTTCTCATTGCATTAGCCTCTTGTACCACAGCCTGATGCCTGGCAGGAATGCAGCTCTCAGGTCTGGAACAAGAGGACATCTGGGCTGGTCTGCAGCAAGGACTGCAGCTGCCTTGTGGGCCCTCTGGTCACAGGGCCCACCTGGAGGTTTCTGATCCACAGAGAGGGAGCAAAGCCCCTGTGCCAGGACTCCCTACTATGACGTGGGGTGCAGAACGGTGGTACAGAAGGCAAAGATGTACAAAATACAGTCACACCTGTGCGGATGGAATACTTTAACTGCAACTAGAGGACGTGATAAGAGGGCAGAAAGAGAACGTGAGGGAAGACCAAGGAATGCTGCAGTTTTCTCTGAAATCACATATAGAATATGCTGCCACAGGAAGATTATGTTCAGACACTTAGAAATTCAGGAGGACTAGTGAAGGCAGGACACCAACTTGCGTAAAATAGCAGTGCTTAGTACATAATTAGAGGAGAAAGGAGGAGCAGAGAAGGAAGGGAAGCAATAGTCCAAGTTCTATTAATTTTTTTCAGTCCAGGTAATTTCAGCATAGGCTTAAAAAACAAAACAAAACAAAACCTCCAGGAGATTATTCCTTCTAGGAATTCAAGCTTTGAAGCAAAATACGTTTTTTTGTCTTTATCAGATCTCTTTGCTGTCCTACTTCTTTCTCTCATTCTAATATTTAATTGGCTTTGGTAGAGATGATCGATCTATTGCTAGTTCTGTGTCAGATTCTTGCCAGTCACTCCATGGGGTCTGAGATTTCTCCAGTCATCTCATGCTCCTATTTAAAATACCTTAACTGGAAAGCTTAGACAGACTAATTTCAGATACTACCATTTTGCAACAAAATTCCAACAGGTCTACACCAGGTCTGCTAACTGTGGTTGGAATGAAAAATAATCTTGTCTTCATATTGAGGCTGTACAGCTTCACTTAAACATGATTTGGAGTGGGATAACTTGGTACTAATGAGCATCAGCACTGTCAGCAGGAAAACGGGCTTTAAGAATCCACATTTCAAAGCACACTCGTTGGCAGTCTGGTACTCACTTCCTGTGTCTTGGGAACATTTGAGTGTTTGCGCTTTGTAGAAATGGTGTCTTTCATTTCATCAGGATTCAGGGAGGACACAGACAAGGAACCTGCATATGGGAAGAAATAATTAAAATTATGTGAAACCAAAGGAGTTTAATATTACATAGTGCTATTGCTAGCCCTATTGCTAGCCCTGCAGGAATTTAATAAGCAAACAGGTCATAATATCCTTGGGGAGGACCTAAGAGGATATTCATGGCAGAAACCAGGATGAAGCAATGCCTCTTACATCCCCCCAAAACACACAGACAAACTGGTAGAAAGAAGTTTCAGTATCTGCTTGTATATAAGTTGATGAAGTACAAAAAGCCAGGGAGGTGAAATGTGTGATTGCCACGTCACTCTGCAAAATGAAGGAATGGGCGAATCCCATTCTTCAGTAAGACCTCTGCAGTAAAGGCTGTGCTGATACTCTGCAACTTTTATTGTCCCTTTCTTAGAAAACTTACCACTCACAAGTATGGTGCAGAGAGCAATTCCCCTGTGGACAGCACAAGAGAGGCAGAGGTTTAAGTACAAAACTCAAAAGAAGAGTAAGCAAAGTCCTTATACTGAGAGAATTTCACCTAAGATATAAACTTGTCCTAATAAACTACAGGTTAATAACCTGAAAGGAATGATGATGTTTCCTCCAGATCTTCTTCCCTTTTAATGAGTATTCTCTCCTGCTCCAAGGCTTCTATGTACTTGGAATAGGACCAGGAAGCCTGCAAGAACCATTAAGCACCATCAGCCTTCAGACCATGTCACTGCAGGTCCTGGTCCATATCAATAGTGAGATAAAAAAACTTCTTTATGTTAAAACCCTGTTACTGGATAATTGTAATTATTAAGAAAATTTTTTTCATTACAATATTGGAATCATGGGAAAAATAAGATTGCTGCAAATAAACAAATCTCAAACCACCATGATTTAAGCAAGTTTGACAGATGCAATGTTTACATTTATTCTCCAACCCTGGTCTAAGTCTTATTCTCTCTCCTTTCCTCTTCTCAACCTAAATACAGCAGATCTTTCCCCTCCCAAAATATCTGTCATTTGTGCTATTGAGGACTTGATTTTATCTCCCTGTCGCATCCTTTGAGTATGTCCTTTCTTAAATCACTGAAGGTCTCATTAACCTCACAGTTCTTTCTGCCTGCCTTCTCTAGAAGAGTGCTAGTACCCTAGAAGCTGATCAACTGGAGATATCCTTTCCTTTTCTGAGGATCAAATGCTGCTCTTTGCATTGCAACAACCACAGTTCAGGTTGCATGTAAATATTAGCTCATTCTCCCAGAACAGTTGGGAACTGCATTTTCATTTGGCCTGATTTTTTTTCTTACAGCATGAGAAGTTTGGGCACAATTTGCTATATCACAACTCAATAGAACTTCTAGCACCTTCCTATAGTAGCAAGGGGCTTGGAGAAGAAAAAAAACTGCCCTTTGAAAGATTATTGTTCGTTCTGTAGTTACTTGCCTCTTCTGTAGGGCTAAAGCATATGCCATGGATATACTGGCTCACTCAGCTCAATTTAAAAATAATAATTAAAAAAATAGGTATGAGCAAAAGTAAAAAGGTCCATTTAAGGGACAAGGGTATAAGTTCAACTACGCAATTTGCACTGTAGCTTCAGATTTTGGGGGTATTTCAGACTGCTCATTTCTATATTCTGCTCATCACTAACATAATGCCATGAGAAGTGTTCTGTGGAATTCAAGCAGTGGCTAAAGTGGGATTTACTCATGCATCATATGGCATAGCTGGGATTATGTGATTGCACAGATTTCCCATTATGTTATGGCAGTGCCAAGTTAGCCAGGAATGATCCCTTCATATGCTCAAGGCAGCATGTCCGTTCTTCCCATTTCTCCAGTCAAATGCCTGTTAACTTTTCACTGTAGGTTTGATGCATAGTGAGAGTTGTTATGGAAGTCCTAAGGTGGTATTTGCTGTCAGATTTTCAAGTACCTAGATTTCCTAAAGCAGTTCAGCTTCAGTTTTTGACATATGAACAGAATACAACTCTAGCCCAAACTGAATTCTTTCAGGACATGAATTTCACAAGTAATGAAAAGCTTCCTATTCCAGAACTGAACTATCTTTTCTTCATTTTATCTTTAAAAACAGATTCTTTTTTAATCCATACACTGTAAGAGCTTAACATGCTGTTAGCTACTAATAGTACTCAGTACCTAAATCTTAAAAAAAGTCAATAAAGAAGGGAAAAAAGTCACCTGTCAGGTAGGAAAACTTACAACAGAGAAGTTAACTGTAGAAGAATGAACAGTTATTGAAGAACTATGCGACAACAGTATTCAAAACTTAACTCCCCCTTCTTGTTCTCCCAAGATCATTTTATCTCTCTTGAATGATATCTATATATATATAGAAACGTGCATTATTCACCTCCCATCCAAATCCATCTAAAGATGGTGCTGATTCTCTCTTCAGGTCAATCTGATCTACCAAAACACCCTTTGGCAGTTGAGTCAAGGAACCCTTTGGCATTTGAGTCAAGGCACTCCTTGGCAGCTGAGTCAAGGCACTCTTCTGCAGTTGAGTCAAGGCACTCTTCTGCAGTTGAGTCAAGGCTCTCCCTGACAGTTGAGTCAAGTTGATGAGTTTTCTCTCCGCTTCTTTACCCTGCTAATAATAAAAACTCATAATTAGATGTGAACAATAGTTACGGTGCTAAAGTTAAAAGCAAGACCTGAGGAACCAACAATTGTCATTGGCAATGAGATAGGTTGACTTGCAGTAATGTTTTGTAATGCTCAGATTCATAATTCATCGTGTTGGGCATATTAAAAAATAGCAGAAGATACAGATACTGCTTTTTTAAAGGATTTCTTTGTTCTAGTCAATGTTTCCTGGCCTCTACACTCCTGCAGAGCATCTTCCTTTCAGATTCAATACCTGCTCCAAAATATGGCTAAGTGACAGGGCAGATCTGCAACAGAACATATTTTAAGGATAGAGAGGACATTGTGAGCCTCTAATTTGGCCTCATATATAAATGCAGAATGTAGGATTTGTGGTGATCAATTCCAACTTGGTCCAGTAACTGTGAATGAACTACAGTACACAAGTTAGGAAATTAGGCAATCTGATTTAAAACATTTACAGTGAAGAACAAGGCATCATAACCCTTGGTAAACTTCTCTGGTGACTAACTATTTGCCATTTTCATGTTGCTTTTGTGTTTTGTGAAGGCTGCACCTTTGCACATTCTGTCTGATGATCCCAAAATTCTTTATAAACATTAATCAATGTTCATATTTGACCTCACAGAGTTAACCCCACAACACCTCCAAGAGCTGAGTAATATAAGCCTCCCATGTTAAAATGAGAAAGTGAGGGGAAAAAAAAAAAAAGAGGTCAAATTGTTTCCAGAGTCACTTAGGAAGTCCCTGAAAGATCTGGAAAAGGATCAGACTATCCCATTTCCCTTCTCATAAGCTGCCTGTTCCTTCCTCATCATCCCCATTGCCCTGTGAACCCATCAGCTCTAAGAGTGACTTTTGGGTACAGAACTGGCCAGGCAGTGCGATGTTCTCCTTCTCTCCAGAAACAGGCTCAGTAACTTCTGTGGCACACTCCGCTGATGAAACAGGGATGCCAAAGCAAATACATGTAGCATGTACACTAATGCACTACAGTTTATGTCTGTTGGCTTTCTCAATGAGAATGGTGAATTAAGTGAGGTCTTTAATAACGTCTTCTCATAATAAATTAGGCAATGTTACGGCAATGTCATATCCCATGACACTACACCACTAACTAACAAATAAGCTTATTGCTAAGAAGCGTAAAGAGAGATGACAGAAACATGGAAAAGGAAAATAATGTTTATGGCTTTCTTTGCTAAGGGCATGGAAAGACTATGTACAGATTTATAGCGTAAGGTAAAACTGTTTTGTGCACTTGAAAGCAAAAAAATCCAAAATCTAGTTTGGAGGTAAAATGCAATTACGTATATAACAAATTACTAGCACTGGCATCAAGGCAGTCTGCAAAAAGTGACTAATATATATTTTAAAGTGTGTGGCATGTGCATCTAGCAGTTAACAAAGGAATAAGTCCATAGTCAGGAAGCTTTTGATAGAATTTGCCCCATAAATAACAAATAGGGACACAGAAAAAATATTGAGATAGTCAAATAATACCAAGTAATGCATAATTGTTCACTGAAAAGCTCCTTGTCTGTCCATTTTTTTGACTATACTACATAAAAGTCCAACTCATCCGTTCAGTTCTAAAACTGAGGTGAGCCCAAGTAGACTGAGCACCCCAGGGACACATTTGTGAGGAAGAAGAAAACAAATTCCTCCCCTAGGACTATGATTGTTCATTTTGACATAAACATGAAATAGCAACTGATTTGTGAAGTGGAGGGCAAATATAAATAAGAAAAGTTTTTCTAACCCTTGCCAGAGCTTTCCTCTCATTCAGTGTGAGCCTGGTGGGGCAGAGGAGCATAGACCTTATTTTCAATGCCAAGACATCATCACCTTCCACAGGCTGCTGGTGAACCTGCTATTGCTTATATTAGATGAACCTTATTGGTATCCTTCAGGGATACCGAATCATTTGAACAGTTACGCTGTCATCGAGAGGACAGAAATCGCAGACAAGAGAACAGGAAATGGTAATTTTTTTAAACAATAGCAGAAAGGGAAAGGTTTTCAAAAACATTTCAAAAATTTATCTGTTCCACCTATTCTTTCAAGAAATTTTAAAAGGTAACTGGTTTACTGATCATTTTTTGTGAGAAGAATAGTCTGCAAACTGTTTACTGAACTGCATTTCTGCCTGTCACCTTCTAAAATTTCTTACTGTTTGCCAGCCTAGAAGGGTAATTCACCTTTCCCATTTGTTCTCCATAAAAGCTAGACTTCTGCCCTCCTGGCCAAGATTTTCTCTTTACTTCCTTGATCTTAATCAGGAAACTTATAGACAGGCAACAAACAGATGGAAAAAATAAGTCTGTGAAAACACAAAAGTGCAGTACTTTGAAATATTGCATTCTTGCAGTGTAAGTATTGCCAATGGCCTTGCCAGACATATCTGTATGGAGACAATATGCTCTGGAGAAAGCAACACGAGTTCTTGGATTTTAGACTTCCCTTGACATTGGTGTGTGGCCTTGAGTAACGCTTCACTGGTCCTCAGCTTTCATGTGTCTAAAGGAGGATAACAATGTATACGTGTTCTTACAGGTGTATGTCTTTATCTGTCCAGGTACTCAAGTGGTTCTCATCATGAGTAACATCACAACACATGTGTATATGGCATTTAAAATATGTAAAGCTCTTTTAATGCTACTTATGGTAGTTTGCAAGTGCAATAATTTCTCTGCCCCTAAAAGAATGTTCTCCTCTCAAAGCTGGCCAAACAATTGTATTTCACAAAAAATAAACTGTTTCAAAGCCTATAATCAATAGAAAAAGAATTCATTATATTTTAATAAAAAAGTCCAAACAAAACAATTTTACAAACAAGCATTCCACTGTAGAGGTCACAGTTCTGGTAATGTGCTGAAACTGTCTGGAAACTCACTGTGAACAGTCTAACAATTTCACTGTCAAAGAGGAGAAATATTAAAGAAAAGGCAAAAACTATGCAAAGTAATTAGTGCATAAATAGATTTTAAAATAATGTGCAGACTTTTCAAATGGCTGTTCTGAAAAATAGATATGGGTTTGGTTTGGTTTTCTTTGGTTTGGTTTCAATAATGATCCAGAACTGTAAATTCTAGTATAGGACAATACATCATGAAAGTGCAAACAGAACAGGTCTGCAGTTACCCACTGCACACAGCCTTTTTTTCTTTTAATTCAGTCTTCTTTTTTGCTCTTCTCTTGGCACAAAAGACTACTAAAATACATTTTCCCCTCTACTTAATGAAAGGAGTATTCCATTGACTCATCTGCTTCAAGTTAAACATAAGTATATGCATCGGCAGGATTGGGAATTAATCATCCTGGGACTGGGTCACATGTGAAGTTTGAAATCTAACAAAAATATGTGGTAGCTTTGGATCAGGCTGTTTTATGCCTGATCAAATCAGGAGTTTTTATGCAGTTCATCAGCTGTCACCTGAAACCTTGTGAGCCTTACCTTTGCTGTTATCCCTTGCTTCTTTCGCATCTTTTTTTCTTTTTCTCTCTCCAAGGCGAGTAGAATTTTTTCACTATCCACATTGCTTTGCAACTTACAAAACTCTGGCCAAAATTTAAACAGAAGAGCAAAAACACTCATCTGCACAAGAAGAAAAGAAAGTCAATCTTGACCATATTAAGAAAACAATTTACTGTAAAATAAAATGTAGTTTACCATGCAAATGAAATAACTATTTCTTTTTGAACACAGCCTTGTTCCTCCCACGTACTCTGTCCTAACATTTCAGCCCAGATTTGCTCGGCACATGCTTTTCATCAGTGTGTTTATTACTGGTGAGAAATCTTCCTAAAACACAGTTAAAAGGAACTTTCTTTTTTAAATATTTCCCTAAACAATTGTTTGCATTAATGAGAACATCCATCATTTTTTACAAGTATTCTTGATAAAATATACACCAGTAGAAATTGCTTTTGCACCACTGTTCTGCTCAAATATTTCAAATATTCAGTTAATTAGGGAGAGGGCTTTTTTTTCTCTCCTTAAGAGAAAGGAAATACTTTTTTGCCTCTGGAAAGACTCTTAAACCACATTACAGATCTATGAGCAAATCTTGGATAATTTTTAAATGATATAATCTCTCATAGGGTCATTTTTGAACTAGAATAAGAAAAACAATTTTAGAAAAGCAAACAGAGGGGCTCAGTAAATTTTGTTGTTGCACGTACCAAGGCTCACATTTTTCAATTCATTTAGATGTTTAATTCTCACTGAGAAACTTGGCTTCCAAATCGCCAAGCATGCCCAGCACCTCACTGCTTCTGGCTCAGTGGATGTGAAGGTGACAAGTGAGTCACTGTCAGGTTCCAGTCACAGCTTTTTGGCCAAGTTCTTCCATTGGTTTTGTGCCACATTTCTGGAGTTCACTGGGGTTTTGCACAGGCTGAAATGAAACTTCTGTTTCCCTCAGAACCTATGTGAACCCTCTTCTCTGACAAAACATTCATCTTTTGTCATCCAAACACCTTATGGGCTCACAGTTGATGTTTAAAGGTGTTGGTGGCAATTTTACAGGAAAAGAAGAAAAACTAGCTCTCTTGGGCTTAGAAAATAAGACAGACAAGGCAGTATCAAGAGAGAAGAAAACAGTAAGTCTGAAGTAAAGGTTCACAAATTGCTGTTCACTCTGAACAGTACAAAGATCAGAGAGAAAATTGTCTACAGCCATTTAAAACACACTTCTTATAATAAAGAAGGGAAAGACATTCAGTAAGTTAGGCTGCCTCTGTGCTTTACTCACATCCTCATTTTTCATAAACCATGAAAACTACAAACTTCTTAACCACGAAATACTCCTCTCACATTAAGCAAGTGGTAAAGAACAAGCAATGAAGAACACAGACAGAATTCATTTCTACTGCCAGAATTCCTAACACAGCCCTAGATAACACCTTCCCAGGATCAACTAGCTGTCAGAGATTGTCTTTATTGAGCAGTATATATCTGAAGCCTCTCTGTCATGTCCCTCATACAGTCTTCATTGCCATATATATGATTACAGTGTTCTCCTTCAAGCCCAGGCTTATGTGTGGAGTCCAAATTGTCACATAAGCAACAAATACTGAATCAGGCATGCAAGCTCTGTCCAGACCTATTACAGAGATTCTCCCAGCTTCTTACCTGTGCCTCTCTAAAAATGTAAGGTCCTAGTTCTTTCCTGCGCTCCAAAATCTTCTTTGCTTGTTCAGGTGGGATGTCAATTTGCAAAGCTGGCGGTATGGCAGAATTAATAAAGCAGTTGATAATAGCTGTGATCTTTTTCTGGACTATGGCATCAGCACAGTGAGAATGGCACAAATCCTGAAAGATGGAAAATAGCATTTTCAGTCAGTGGAGAGGGAGACACAAGACCCTTTAGAGAAGTCCAGTGATCAAAGAATAATAGTCAAAAATATCAAAAAATATACAATAGATTCCTTCAGTACACAGGACAAAATTCTTACAGCAAATGTAAATGGTCAAAGCCATAGTTAAGACTTGAGTGGGAGTTCTGATTTGCAAACGCAGAGGTATAGCAATCATGGCTTTTAAGTGATAATCTCTACCTGCACAGTTGGATGGAACAGGATAGTTCTTAAGTGCATTACTGGCAGATAGGAGGCATTTCTGAAAAGAGAAACACACCTACAGGTGTGAAACGCACTGGTTTTCACAATAAGCCTGCTATGACTAGCATAGCCATGATAACCAAAATACAGAGAAATGCTTTAAGTGCTCCAGCAAAAGAGGGGAAATATTTAGAGGGTACAAGGAATGTTGGCACAAGGGGAACAGTTTCATCTACCAGTAAAATCTTCCATTTATTGAAATCCTCTAGTTTCACCAATCATTAGGATGTTCTAGTTTCTCAAAACCCTGGGGTTGGAAATAACTCTGTGCAGAACAGAATACAAAGCAGACCTGAACTTACTTGAGTGAGATCTCAAAGGAATACTGGGAGTTTTCTACTTTTTTTAATGTGATCCTATTGTTCTGATAGAACACCTGTTATTACTGTGTTTTGATGCTCTGACAATGCTACCATTGGACTTTGACATGAAGGAAAAATAATACAAAGAACTTCCTCCAAACACTTTGAAACATGAAGTTTCCCTCTATCCATAAACATCAAGAAATCTCTATAACACCAGGAGACTATCACTTATATCTACGAGAGACACAATGAGTGCTCTAGAGAATTTTCAGGAAGGGAGCCCTCTAAATGAAGAATCTGCATTTAGTTTTGGTATAGGAGTCTTGATATTTACTTTGCAAAGAAATTAAAAACAGGGCTTTTAACCAGAAACGTGGTATGTGAAAGAGCTGACTTGTTTTATTATGAATACTTTTCAGTTTTGAAAAGGAAAAAAAGAATGATAACAGCTACAATAAAGAAAGGAAGGCAATACAAAAACATATTCAATAGATCCTAAGTATACACTATGGCTTCCTTTGTTCATCTAGCATAGAAGAGAAGGAAGAGAGCTGTACTAAGAGGGAAGACAAACAAGTCGTATGATATGAAGAGAGATGAGACTGAGCACAGAGGAACAGATGGAAATGATCCACAGATTTATGTTTCTTCATATTTGTTTAAAAAGTAATCTTGGTTTTGGATTCTCCCAAGATGTACCACCAGCCTGATGGGTTACAGGGAGCAATGCAGTCACTGACTCCTAAAGGGAATTCTGTCTAAACTGATGGCATGATAGAGCTCAGACAATACAAGTATGCACTGTGCAAAGTGCTGCCCACGCCTTTGGCAATATTCCTCCAGTTCAGCCTGACCCACAACACTCCTACTACTCCAGCCCTTTGCTTCTATAAAGAGCATCAACTGCCAACCGTGACAAATCACATGCACGGAGAAATACGGTCAGATTGTACTTCTTCTTGATAAGAAGACAAATAAAATTAACATAAATGCAGGAGAGGGGTTGGGACAAAAAAAAACAATGACGGTTTTCTTCAGAGAACAGATCTACAGGGAAAAGAGTCTAAACTACACTGCACATTAATTTGTAGAAAGTTTCCATGTCCTCCATAATGTAGCAATGAAGAATCACAAATCTGAAAAAATTCAAATATTTTGGAAAGGATTTATTTCATGGAACACCAGGTGCCTTCATATCAGGTTCTTAATGTAAGGTACTCACTCTCTAACTGAGAGAGAAAGCAGCGCCCCCAAAGAGCATTTCAGCTAGTGATTCCTTACTTGGGGATCAGAGCCTTTGTGAGGAAGAGAGATTGACCCTTGGAAACAGAGGAGCTTCAACTTCTAAAACAGACTCCAAAATTCAAATTCATAAAATGAAAAAGTGCTAATACACCCAAATGCCAGCAAAAGATCTCTAAGTACTACTGCAGTATCAACTGTGCTTACCTCCTAACTTCTGAGCATATTAGCTAACCTCTCGCTCCCTGCCTGCCATGTGCACACAAGCTGTGCTCTGGAGCCCAGGAAAGGTTCTGCACTCTGGTAGCATTTTGCATCAGGAATATCCCAGAGGCAAAAGGAAAGAGGAACAAGTGAAAGATCTGTGGTGTCCCTGATTTCAATCCAGGGTGCTACTAGGAAGCTGCAGTGTGATTTAAAGGCTCACTCCAGAGGTTTCCCACTGTTTTTCAACCCACATAGCAGCAATTTCACAAAAGTGCATGTATTTGGGAGAGAGATAATCCCTGCTGACCTTCCCTATCACATTTCACTTTGGTCCCATCCTCAGCTGAAGTCAAATGTGACACTACAAAGGGCAAGGAGCCTGGGGTCTCCATTGCACATATAGGCTTTTTGGGTAGATACTATGTTTACATCTATAGATTTGATTGAATTTAAAAGTTAACTCTGATTTTTGAGGAATTACCAAATTCAGCAATAATCCCATTATTTAACAGTATGCAGCTATAAACACAGAATGAACATTTTAACACTTGCATATTTTCTATTGCTCAACAGATGTATACCAAACTCTGGGCATTAGCTAGTCGGTAGTGTCCCTTTAGAGACTCAGAAGAATGTAACAGTTTAAAGAAGCATAATGAAATATAGGGATAATACAATTGAGTCAAAAATAGCTACCCTTAAGAAGTGAGGGTTTCCTTCAAAAAAAAAACCACCTTGGTTTAAACCGTGAAAGAGGTTTTACTATGAACAACAGAATGAATGCCTGCAGATATTCTTGTTCAAATTCTCCTAATATGCAGGAATGGATGCATTTGTTTACAAATTGAATGCTATTCCCCTTGCTCCCTTCTACCACCATACCTTATACTTTTGCACTTCTTGCCAAAAGAGCACTCCATTCCCCAGCAGGTCTCCTTGCAGTGACACAAAGCGTTGAAAAAGACTTGCTGTCACCGGATCCAGCAGTGCTTTGCGGAAAGCAATTATTTCATTAGATGAAGAAACACACTTATTGTCCATATGCTGTCAAAAAAAAGAAATAAATGCACCAAATAAACTTTGTTTCAAAAAGCAATAACAAAGGCATTAGTTAGCGTAAACTGTCTGATTCTTATCTTTCCACTGACCCTAACTTTCAGTAGTTTATGACTTTATGACATGGATACAATAAAATGTGGCAAGGTTTCATTTCTTTCTTTCCTTCTTTTTTCTTTTTTCTTTTTTTTTTTCAGTTTGGTTTAGGGAACATTTTTTGGAAGACATGATGGGAGAGGAAATGACTGACAATGATTTAGACCATATGACTACATACTATAAAATATGGAAACAGCTATTGTTATTGATTATGGCAACAGGCTACTTTTCTAGAGAACAGTTTGAGTTTTGTGCAAACAAACAACAAAGAAAAAGGAACAGACAAACCACATAGCTTAAAGTTGTAAAATGCTTCTGACAGGGATCTCACCAACAAAATGAGCTTTGAAATGTGTTGCCATGATCACCAGCAGAAGCCAGAGAGTTTGCTCTCTGTGGAATAAAGCTACCAATAGTAAAACAGAATTTAGAGTCATCAAGACATTTTGGAAACCCTCATGCTGCCAAGCACAAAACAGTAGGCAGCCAGGAAAGGGTGGAGAAAGAAAGATGGCTTATGCAGAGACAGTTTGTTTGAAATGAAGTTCATGCTGGCCTGTCTTCCTGAACAAACAGTTCTTGTACTGTCACTGAGGAGCAAGCCAAACAAACCCCTTTTGTTATCAGATGGATGAATGAAAACCATCTTTTAACAGTGGTTTAAACCTCTTGAAGTCCTGGAGGGATGGAGTACTGTTCAATGGTCAGCATGGGACAGAAACATTTTTGATTGTTGCCAACAGTCCTGGATATCTAATCTGATCCTAAGCTGAAAGGGTTTCTGCAGCTTCTCTTAAAAACAGGGGTTATGCTTAGTGTCCTGCTGCAGAGCCTGCCAGGGCTGAGAGCCTACCCTTGTGAGAGGGAGGGTGATGGCTGTCCAGAGGGTCCTTTGGTTAAAATAAAGTCAGCTCAACTTAGGCAGTAGGGTGGGATCTTCTCAGCCCTGGTCCGATTCTCCAAACATGTTCTATCCCCTGTGACTAGGATTTAGGCAACTTTTGGGGAAAATTATTTCTGGGTCATAGTCATGAAGGGAAGAACAAAACACTGCTCCCATCCCTATACCAATATACAAACTGCTTATTTTATGGGTCAACAACCTTGAAGCAGAACAGGGAAAATAACCATCTTCCTGACAAACAGACAAAGGGAAAACTCAGTTAACAGAACCCACATGCAGTTTGGATCCCTTTTGTGCTGATGGTTTGCATGGATAATTGGTGACCGGGTCTCCAGTTTGATTTCAACAGACAATAAAAGTTCAACTGAACAAATGTACACAACTTGTATGCTGGCAATCACAAAAAGTTCACTGCTCTTCAAGAGGAAAAAACTGGCAAACATCTGATGAAATGTATTATTACAAAGGTTTAAGAAGTTTAAATTTGATATTATCTCAGTGCTGTGAGATTAAAATACAATTCTAAATGAAACGGATACTGTGAGATATGATTAAACCTGCCCACTCCACTGCATACTTCACATTCCCTTTTGTGTCTGCACGTAATCCACTTGCAATAATAAATAAACTACCAGATGCTGGAATGAACAGCTTGTCCCAATAAGTCCACTGCATGCAAAATACAGATAAATGTGAATTAAAGGTACAATATCAGTTTGAGGGGGGTTAAGAGTGTTCCAAAGCCCAGGACAAGAGTCATGTTTTTATCAAGCATGACCTCCCTAGCCAGGAAGGGAGTGAAATTTACCATGAACATCAGCAGGGAGCTAAATTCAGGAGTAATATGAGTAATCAGTCCACTCTAGCCAATACAATCATGGCTGCTTTTGACAGCATTACATTTGGGCCTCACACTGTCAACAGGGAAATTGTGAAGAATGTGCAAGGTCCAAAGGAAAAAGACAGCAAAACTGCAGACACAAGAGACACGGTACATTTCACTTGCCTTCCATATCCTGGTCGTCTTCTGCTGGTCTTTGTGTAAAAGATCTTCAGTTATGTCCCTTATCTACAGTTGAAAAGTAGATTAGAATTGTATTTTTTAACTCTTCTTGTTTCTTGTTCAGCCCTCTAATGATAGAGACCACAGTGCTAGAATAATTTATATGTCTTTGTTTGGATTTTATGTCTGAAACTAGTTGTGGACCCACACTGAATGCCAGCCCTTCTTCAGCTATAAATGAGCACCTGCTCATTAAGACTGGAAAGTTAGAGAAGACAAGAAGCAATAGCAGTCAAATTATGCACTTCCACTGGTTTACTTTACCCATGAGGGATCACTTATGTTAGTAACAAATTATAGTGGTTTTTTTTTTTTTCCCCAGTATGAAATGTTTTTAGTTCCTTTGGACAGCTGTATCAGTAATACAGACTTGATCCTGCAACTTCTTTGTAGCAAAAATACACCTCAAATCAAGGGCAGGTTTTCTGAATAAGGACTACATAGCATGCCCACAATATTTGGTCACTGTGAAATATGAAGCCAAGTGGAGAATGTCATCTGGTTTCATTTCTTCTAAAATACTCTCTTCAAAGGACCTTTTCATCCTCTGAATTTGCAATAAGAAAGAGAAAAGAGCAGTCAAACATAAATGGAGTTAGGGAAAGACTAAAAGCTCATTAGAAGCATGTATTTCCTGTAAACTGTTTATTTGAGTTGAATACAACATTTTCTAAGCTACTTGGGCTAATCTGCCTGCCAGCACAGTGCAGCAGGTGCAAGAAGAGGCCTGAGTTAGCTTCCAGATCTGGAAGCAGCTTAGCCTTATTGCATGGTCTTGTACCAGGACTTGTAAAGGAGGCAGAGTTCAGCTAAAAAGGGCAGAGGGTTAGAAAATTTTAATTTAATTACATAATCATTATTAAAATTGCAATTTGTCTTATCAGAACCTATACTTTTCACATTCCTTAGTCTTCTGAACCAATGGAAAAGATCCAGTTCATAGCACTTCTGACAACCTTCTTGATGTTATAAAGATGATAGAAAGTAAATTTTATTAATCAATACAGTTGCATATACGTCTGCTTGGTGGAACCGTGACGTTTCCTTCTGCCATGACATTCACACGTCAGAGCTGTTGCAGAAGTGCAAAAAACTGAGTCTCTTTGCATCTGTCAGCAGTGGGATGATCTCCTCACACAGATCACAGCCACAGAGGCATTCATAAAGGGCAGATTTTCAGACTTTCTAATGAGCCAGCAGGAGTGAAAGGCTCCTCACTCCCAGTTTTCTGGCAACTTTCTGAAGTAACCAATTGGAACAAGGCTTATAGCAGTTAACCTCCCCACTAAGCAGAATGTCACAAGTCCTGAAGTAATTTCTACAGGCATTGCAGCTCCAGATGGGAGAATGTGGACAGCGTAAGAGACAGAAAGAATTACAGCACGGGAAGCCCACTCATTTGCTTGTGTTCTGGTGCCCTTGGGCAAATCCTTTGCATAAAGCAGCATTTCTTCAGTGTGCAACTGTATGGCTAGGGCAAAATGGCATATGGAGAGTGTAGCACTGTAGCAAAGATTAGTTGACTCTCCTGGCAGGCTGCCTGGCAGCAGAGCTAATACCAGCTCCTTCAGATTTAGGATCTAACAATAATACTGTCAGCTAAACTAAACCTTCAGAGGAACTGCCTTCCCACTTATCAAGGTAAATGTTTCAACCTGTACATGCTACAGTGCCTCTTTCAATGTAGACTGAAAGAGAGCTGTGGGCTGCTTTTCCTCTGAACCTTTTTATCCCAATGGTAAATTATGAGCCAAACAAAAAACAATGCCTGGATGTGTTGCTGTTGCTAAAAAATTACCTTTGCTTGTCCCTCCACCCCACGGTGTTCATCTGCCAGGAACAATGGCAGCCATTGTTTTTCTAATCTCTTCTGGACGCATTTCTGAACTTCTAGCAGAACCGCTGCCGAAAGCTGATCATGAAGGATTTGTCTCCTTCCTCCACCTGAATGCGTTAGCTAAGCAATCCAAACACAATAACACATGACATAAACTTTTGTGTATACCAAAAGTCCTTTATCTCTCTACATCCTTGATTTAGCAAAGCATGAGCTTAATTGTAAGCAAAGCATTTAATGCATGCTTACCCAAGGCTCACATGTACTTTTCATAAAAGGGAACAGATTACATTTGTCCCTACCTATAATAAGATACAGACTCTGGGAAATAATACCCCAGCTTGACCAAGTAAATTGTCTAAGTATCAAGATATATCAGAGTACCACAGCTCAGACTTACTGTCTGTGGCTTTACTGACATACTAAATAGAAAGTTGGAACAAGTCACTGTGCCTGAAAGCCATTTTTACACTTTTTCTGAGCTGTGTTGTGCATGCTCTGGCTGTGGACTCAGATCAGGGTTTAAGAGAGATGTTCTATAAAGGGCAGGGAGGAAGAACCCGAACAGGAAGGAAGGGACCCCCAGAATCAGAGCAGAACTAGATTTCTGGCCAAAAATATAGGTTAGATTTGAGGACATAGCTTGGGGAAAAGCTGGAGGAAACCCACTTGTGGACTTTTATCTCAGTGACATTCAGTGTGATTGTTCTTTATGAATGGTTTTGTAACTGGTACCTTTTCTTGTTGCTCTCTGGTAGCTGGGCTGTTGGGTCCAAAGAAGTACTCATCATTTAAGTACTTGTTTCCAATGTCCTTAGACATTTCATTGCTTTTTTCTTTATCCTTGTGGAGCATCTTTCTGAACTCTTCAATATCAAGCCAACACATGAGATCCATGCTACAAACAAATTTAAACAGAATGTTATTTCAATATTGAGTGAATGTCATCAACAGTCTAGGGAGTTATTTGTTTAACCACAAGCCACCAAAGTAATCAAGACCTAAATACCAAGTCAGATGGGGCTAAAATTTTATGTCATTTTTTTCTTTGCTTGTACCATCTGGTGAGACCATGGCACTGGCTGAACAGGCAGATCAAACACACATCTTAGGGATCTCATTTAGGGTCGCTTTTAGGGTATCCCAAAAGGCGTACCCTCCTCAATATGCCACTGCTAAATCCAGCAGGAACTGTGAACCAGAGCTATAATATAGGGCTCACAGAGAGAATGAAAAATTAAACAGATGAGAATCTGAATCACTACTGAGGCTGTCAGCCACTGAGAGACAAGTTGACGCTTCCTGTTCTGCCCCCTTGTCATATTGCCTGAGAAAGGAGCAGGGATGACACCTGAGAACATCAGCCCCAAAAATTACCGCCTTCCTGCCCTGTGGGAAATGCTAGAATTTAAGTCAGTCTGCAGTCAAACAGACAAAATCAATTCATAGTAAAATTTGCTTCTAGAGTTTTTTGTGCGATGCTTTTTCATAAATTACCGAATCTACTACTTATTTCATTATTCATAGTCAGTGACAATCTCTATCTGCAATTCTCAATCTATATATTTTTCATAACATTTGAGTGTACACTACAAATTTAAGTTTGTTTTCATAGAATGGTTTTGTTCTTTAAATCAGAGGACAGAATAAGTGATATACCTACAATTTCAGTTTAATTTATATAAGTGTTTTCTGATGGTATCTTACTAGCTGAAGTTTTGTGAGCATTTTAATTAGGACATTCACTGTATTTGAAGCAGGAAAGATGAAACATTAAATTCAGACAAATCTGTTTTCACTTTTCCATTCAGTTAATAACTGTTTTTTTCAAAGTATTAATCTATGAGTAAAACTTTCAAAAGCATTTCACTGATTTAAGAACAGATATTCTCCTCTCAGAAGTCTTTTGAGACCCTTACAGACCTAAGTTCTACTGAGACTGAAATTCCTTCATTTGCTAGTTCATCACAACATGAATAAGTTCACTCAAATGCAAGTGCTCCAAGTTACTGTGGTTAATGGAGTAACTCCTTGGCATCTACCTATGACAACTGATCAAATATGTGCATTTTATTTAAAAAGTAAAATATATCATTTTAAAGTGTGTTAGTTAAATCATTTACAGTGGTGGCTTATCCTGGCTTACTGCACTTTTCCCTTTCACCAGATCAGGAGCACATGCATAATCAATTAGTCTGGCGAGACTAACAAGTGGTAACCCACTAACTCAGAGTAACACAAACTGTCCTGTAATTGTGTGAACACATTCTTTCTATTTAATGAAATATTACTTAATGGAACTTTTTTTAGTTCCTTACCAGAATTCGTGTACAGGTACTTAGAAGCCTGTCCTTCCTGAAACTTGGATCACTTATAGTTGGAAAAATCGGAACCATAAATTTTGATCAAAAGGCAAATGACACATTTGTTGGGTTTTTTCTGAAAATTTCCAGACTGCATTAGTTCTAGGATCCCTTCAGCTTATAGTACCATTAAGCATCTTTATTGTGGTGTGCCTGCTGGACTATAGAGTTACTACACCTGGATCCAGCTCTAAAACACTTTTGTGAGACTTTTTCAAATGTTTTTCTTCATTATGAATTTTTACAAAAGAAAATTTCTTCATAAATTAAGTATTTCTCTGCCTGGATCTACCACTTAAGATGGGACTTGTCTGTGATTAACAGAGAGGCAGGAAATCCCAGAGACAATTCAGTGTCCCTGTCCAGGACTTCATCCTAGCCAGTGACCTGTTAGCTGGTGATTCCTACCGTTTCCCAAGTTAGAGAGGATCTCAAGACCAGTGGTCTCCACAGTGGGGTGTGTGCACCCTAGGGGGTGTTCAAGACCATTTGTTAAGGGGCAGGAAGAAAATATTATAACTTCAGTAGCACATGTGTACACTGTATAAAAAATTAAATATACATATATTGAGGGTCCTCTTGTAGTCAGTGAGAAGAAATAGACATCTTAGGAATGATCCATCCAAACTGGTTTTTAGATGTTACCTTCAGAATTAGAAGAAATGTGTTCAGAAGTTTGTATTTCTCTCTCTGACTACAAAGGGAACCTTCTGATGATAAGCAGAAGTGATGACACTTGAGTCTTGGCCAGAGGAGTTCTGTGCCAGATACCCATCTCTGGATACTTTTGAAAAAGCTGACCAGTATCCAGTCTAAAATTATAGCCATGCTTGACTAGAAGCACAAGGCAATATGCAAAGCATCAGCTCATGGAACCTAGGTTAAAGGACTGAAGTGATAATTTAAGGACAAAAAAAGAAAAAACAAAAAAAAATGGGCTCACTTTTTCAAAAAGCCTGCCTAAACTGTATCTGCTACAGGCAGTACTTAAATCTGTTCAGCAAACACAAAACTGTGGTTGCTCTCTCACTGTGAGAATAACGTGTCTGTCTTCTACTATTTGTACATTTTTATAAAACCCAGCTTTAATTTTTAAAATGTAATAAATCGAATCTGCACTAAAGACTATAAATTCTTACTCATTAAAGGCTAATTGCTCTACTCAGGTGTTTGCCACTAATCAAAGCAGAAACCGAAAGCAGAAGTGTAATACAAAAATGTTAAGACAATTCAGTTGTCTGAAGGATATGCATGTGTACTTCCTAAATACACAAACGCATTTTTAAAAAAGACTAAAATCTGTGAACCTTTAGATAGCCAAGATCCCCAGCAAAGATTTCTTCTGAACTTAGAAATGGTAAAATAAAAATAATAATAATAATAATAATAATGAAGGAACATACCCAGCAGAATGCTCATTAAGGAAAGCCCGGAACTGTTTTAACTTCTCTTTGTCGTGGATCAGGTCAGACAGACTAGGACCTGCCAATCCTTTGGGAACTTGATACAAGTACTGATCATCAGGGAAGGATGGCAGACCAGAGTCGGCAACAGTACTCTGAGGGAAGAAATTATTCTGCCTGCATAACTGCTTTTTTCATCTCTATATTCTGCTCAGTCTAATAATCCTTGCACTAGATAACCTGTCTCTGTAAAACAGCTTTTTGATTGTTGAGGAAATAAGTTGACTTAAGGCTCCAGCTCTTATTCAGCTTTACTTTTATGTTTGCTTTAAACATACCAGTGTGTGCAGGTTCCATAATCAAATAAACCAATATATACCTGTAATTTACTTGAAATTGAGGTATTTACTCAAGATTAAGGGTCCAAAAAATATTCCACAGACTTCAGTGGAAACTGTCTCATTGACTCCAATCATACAGTGGTCTGATGTTGATATAACTGGCAGAAGACCCATATATCTAATTAACACAGTGGCTGTCTATCAGTCCCCAAAACGAATGGTAGAAATCAGACTATTTGCTTCTCCAAACTAGCATGTGGTCAGGTTTTCATTGCTAATACACAAAGTGTTAACCCTCTCTGATAGAAAAAGGGGTTGTTTTTGTCAGTAGGTACTTGCCTTACCTCATCCTTCTTGGAACCACTCACTTCATGCAAAGCCTGGAGCTTTGTAAAGCACACAGAGTCCAGCTGTCGAGTTTCTCCCACCAACTCCACCTAATAAAAATAATATCTTATATCATCCCTACAGTACATGTTATAGAAAGATGGAGAACTGCATGGGCACTTTGCCAGTGACAGTGGATAGAAAAGAATACATTTGCCAATACACTAGAAGTCACATTTTTCTGACAAACAATTCTATTAAAAGCTCTGATAGAACAAAATTTTCCTATCTTTGTAGGATCAGATGTAGATTTCTGCAGAACACCACTAAATAACATAACTATATCTTTAAGAAAATAACTTTGCATTAAAAAATGGCTAAATTATATTGTCTATATAATACACTCTGTATATTGTATTTATATGTATTATATTGTGTATATTGTGTCAGACTTACCTGATTGTCTATACCAGCAAATCATATGTCAAAGTGCCACTGAGAAAGCAGGAAAACAGTTCTTAAAACTATGACTCTCAATGTAAAATGTCAAAGAGACAGAGTGCCACAGATTTCCAGAAAAAGAAATTTAGGATGAGAAAGATGCTATAATACCTAAACAGTGAAGGTGAAAGCTTTCAGACTTTCAGTCTTGTCCCCTTCCTTAGTTTTATACCAGGTAATGCCTTTAGTAATAAATTGTGCATGATTTCAACTCATGAAGTATTGGCATTATTTAACTTAATTACAAGTCTTATGTATATAACTACAGCAGTTCTCCACGTTATGTGCAATCAGTAACTGCACAAGGGATAGTTTGGTGACATCTCAGCTGACCAGAAACCATTCAAATTCAGATTTTAGGATATTTAGTAAAATTGAGCCAATGCCTTACACTGATTAGCATACCCCTTATAAAGATTAGAAAGCTGTGGTTGTCTTATTTAAGAGTTTATGTGCAAGAGAGAGAAGAGAGTGTTTAGATTATATTCATTACATTTTCGTCTAAATGTGAATATCACACTAATCACTGTGTTATCTAAATGTTTTCAGGCTCACTGTAATTCTGTTCCACTGCTTATAAAGTGCTCTGGGGTATTTGTTCCCTTAAAAGAAAACAAAGTTTAAAAGTAAATAGTTAAAATAATTCAGAACATTTAAAGAAAAAATGTAGATACGTATACTGACCATGTCCCAAATAAGCAATTTTGGACTCACCTAATTCTTGATAAAATATCTTGTTTCATTATGGGCCAAATATATCCTGCTATAGGGTAGAACAAAGGGGAAGAGTAGAGCCAGGGACTGAACAAAATACAAAGCAGACCTTGTCTAGGAAGGAGTGTGCCTAAGTATCAGCCTGCGCCTAGTACAAAGAGACTCTAGTGCCTCCTAGAACAGGTTGTTTTATGTCTGTGTATTATAACTCTTCACAAACACATGTATTGTGCAGTCAAAAGTACTTAGTTCTGGTTTTTTGTGCTCTGATTAAGATGTTTGTGTTATTAGAGCACTGAGAAGTCTGCACGTAACTACATTTGTAAAGCAACGCATCCTCTAAACTGAAAGGACAACAGATTATCCCTCGGTTAACTCTAGGATACATAAACTGGCACATATATTAACTTTAAAGGAAAAGTATATATTTTCAATTCTTACTTTGGAAGAATGCTTCCATCTCCAGAAGCAGTGACAACTCTGTATTCAGAGAGAGCTCAAAAGCAGACTTCTTTTCATACAAAAATTACGTATAAAAATACTCGACTGAGCTGATGATTTGGCTTGGTGAGAACCAGCAGCAGATACTAGACAACTAGTACTCATAACACACAGAAAATACATAGTTAGAAAAGACTAAAACTAGTCTGATAGAAAGTAAATAAAATTTCGGATTCACAGAAGTATCAATCAATTACACAGTGCTCCACAAGTCATAAAGAATTATAGCTGAAATAGCTTAGGAAAAAAAATTATCTGAAAGGTTAAAAAATATGCTGAAAAGTGAAGAAAATATTTTGCAGATGTGGATTAGTATATTTCATCTTAAGAAGTTTTATCAGTGTTCAAACTCTCAAAGTTTCTAAGGAAATTATGTTATCATAGTATGAGAGGTAAAGTCCTCTTGTGAATTAATTAGAAGGTAGAAAATCAAAACCAAAGAAATAAATAACTTTCATTATAGGGTGGGGTTCTTACTGGAGTCTCACTGGGATCTTCACCGAGGTTGTTCTTTTAAACATTCAGAAACTATCTGGAAAAGGAGGTGAGTGAGGAGACAACAAAGTTTGCAAAATGATTCCACAGAGCAAAAAAATTAAATTGACTGTGAAAAGCTGCAGGATTTCAGGACACTTTAGCATCTGCATGATAAAAGGGCAGCTGAATTCAATGATAATAAACATTAAGTCATTCCAATGAGCTCCAAATGAGGGCTTTCCATTAGTTGTTATTACTTGGGAAGGAGATTTGGAAACACCACAGATGACTATTAGCTTGCATTTTGCACATCCACTCAAAGTTCACCAGGAGTCAAAAGGCAATTAGAATGATAGGAACAATTGGGAATGGAACAAAGAGCAAAACAGAAAACATGATTCTGCCACTGGATAATCCTTAGTGCATCCAGACCTTGAGTACTGCTTGTATCACATCAAAAGAATGTAAAATAGCACATAGAGATGGGGCTATAAGTGTAACAAAGGTATGGAACTTCCGTAAGAGAAGAAGTTTAACAGTCTTGAGTTTCAAGGAGGTATAACTGAAGTGGGATACAACAGAAACTTGTAAAAGCATAACAACATTGTGAATATGAGAAGACAACAACTGTTCACTCGTTCGTCATGACATATAAAACTAGGGCACCAGGGGAAATTACCAGGGAGGGGTTTGCAAACAAATCAAGATAAGTACTTTTTTCTCCTATTGAGTGACTAAACCATGGAACCCACTTCTACACTGAGGCTGAAAATATATCACTCAAGACACATTTACATAAACCCATGTGGAAAAAAGTCCCTCATTAAAGATTATTAGACACAAAAATGTGGATAACATCTTTGCTCCATGAACTTCCTTGCTTGCAAAGTGATGAAGCTGGCATACTGCTGTGTGGGGGTTTTTTCTCTTCTAATAATCCATTCTTAAATGTTTAATACTGGCCACCACCTACTAGAAGATCATTCTCAACTTTGATTTTAGGTATCTGTTCACCTAGTTGTTCATACATGCATGCATGATATAGTATCAAAATTAGGATTTCAAAATGTTTTGCAGAAGGCAATGCAAGCATGTTCTCATTACAAGTTGACAGAAGTACCAGAAATAAATGATGATATTTCCTGTAAACTGGAGATGCTACATTTAAGGTCATAGTGGAGAAAAACTAACAAGAACTAACATCCTGCCCTCCAATTCCTTATTCCTCATTATAAGTCTCTCCTTCCACATACAACAGAGATGTTAAAGACTTGAAATTAGAACCACAGAATCACAGAATATCCTGAGGTGGAAGGGACTCAAAAGTATCATCGAAGCCCAACTCGTGGTCCTGCACAGGACCTCCCCAACGATCACACCACGTTCCTTAGAGTGTTGTCCAAATGCCTCTTGCACTCTGGAAGGCTTGGGAGCACGACCACTTCCCTGATGAGCCTGTTCCAGTGCCCAACGACCTTCTGGGTGAAGAACCTTCTCCTAATATCCAACCTAAATCTCCCCTGACACCCTTCCATGCCATTCCCTCAGATCCTGTCACTGGTCACCAGAAAGATGAGATGAGAACCTGACCCTCCACCTCCCCTTGTGAGGAATCTGTGGACCACGATGAGGTCTCCCCTCAGTCTGTTCTCCAGGCTGAACAAGTGACTTCAGCTACTCCTCATAAGGTTTCCCCTCTAGGCCGTTCACCATTTTCTTAGTCCTCCTTTGAGTACTTTCTAATAGCTTTGCATCTTTCCTATATTGTGGCACCCAAAAGAAGTTTGACATATCAACATAGAAAGGAGTGGGTAAGCAAAACATCTTGTAATACTTCTCCCTTCCTGACTATAAATATAACAGGATTGCATATAAAGGATCTCGTGATTTTCTTTCCTGACATAAGACTTTTTCATGGTGTCATCCTGATCTGTTACCTTTCCATAAGTATATTTGTCTGCTTCCACCATCTTCATCCATGGTTCTAGGAGAATAGTGAGAATATATTCTTCTGCTGGGTCAAAAAGGTCCTCAAAAGCCGGGTCCATTTTCTGATAAATCGTGTTTCTCTTATTCTGATGAAGTCCAATGTCCATACTGGCAGATGGGGCAATGTAAGTTGCATAAAGGAACTGCAATAAAAGAGAAGAAAACTGTTTCTTAGTCATCATCCATTTCAATGGTCACAGACTGCTGAAGGAGAAATTAATGCATGTTTGCCCCCCACTGCCCTGAACGTATATCTAATTACACTTATTTTTTACCAGTATTACTGGTAAAACTACCTTATTTTTTACCAGTAAAACTTATTTTTTACCAGTATTACTACTTTGTCCAAAATTCAGTTATTGCTATAACGGATCACCCTGCCATTTTTACTTCTGCTTGTTAAAATGGTTAGATCCAAAAATAATGTTTAATGCAATTTTCTCCTGGAGATCTTTGACTGATTCTTAGATTCAGATAGCTACAATCTTTACAGCAACTGCACTGCTCATGAAGTCACATTGTTGCTTTGCAGACTATGTGCTGGGCCAACTACTGAGGGTATCTGGCTTTTCTGAATAGGTGGTAATTTGTAAATTTAAGGTTAAAATTAGTGAAAAATTACATGATATTCTGTGTGGAGATTCTCTTACATAGCTTTTTGACATTGGTGAGACTCCATCACAGTACAGGATCCATGTACGAGATTCCACTGCACAACTGAGGTCTAAGTCCTTACCAAAGAAAGGTTTACAATATGCTTTTTATCTAAAGCATACAGAGTTTGTCATTCAACATGTACAAAGAGAAGAAAACTGAATCTGAAGAATGTTTCCTTTTCACTAGCAGCTCACTCTTGAAGCATAGAGTAATTTTTTAATTTATTTCATTTCTTTTTTTTCAAACTTACTTAATCCCCTAAGTAAAACTCCTGTTTTCTAAATTCATAAATTTTCTAATTTACAAATTGCTGTGAAAATGAACATTGAAAACTCAGAGAAAAACACTTTCTTCCAGGGATATCTTGGAAGAGGATATTCCAGCATATCTTTATAAAACATCATGATTCTGAGTGCACCTAGGAATTCAACTGAAATAAAGATGCTGCCATAATATATTTCATATAAGTATTTTCTCTTCTTTACATTCTCAAAGTCCAACTAATTTTCAAATATACAGTCAGGGATCAGTTTAGTATCATAAATCAGAATTTCTCTCCAGGATGGCAGTGACAAGTCCATCTTTACTATTTATTACCAGAGGCTTGACAATGAAGAATTCAGGAATATAATAATTCTCGTTTTCCTCTTTTTGCTAAAAGTCAGCTGTAACTAGCAGATGTACAAAGCAATAGAAAAGAAGAAAATGATACATTTACTCTGTGTTCAAGCAGTAATAAAGCACTGGTGTGCTTAGATTTCAAACACTGGGCGAGAACGTTTGAGTACATTAAATAACTATCTTTCTGTTTGTATTAAATTAAATTCTGATTTATTAGACTCCTTCTCTCAAATAGCAACAGCACTAGAGTACATCCCCATTATTTTGGAGCTTTACAATTCGAAACAAACCCTTTAGATTCTCCTGGTATTAGGTCACTGAGGAATACAGGGTATCAATGGCTGACATCCATCCCCACTTAGCACTTTTTACAATTACCATATTTATTGTCTATGCAGGATTCCACACCCTTTCTACATAGATCTGATCACTGAAAACAAAGATGTTTTGAGGCTATTGTGCACTAAAAAATTATCAGTGCAATAAAGATACACAGGTGTAAGGGGAAGGTCAGGGAAAAGGACATCCACAGGAAGAGTCCTAGCTGAAGAACAAGACCACATTTATTCTAAATTATGCCCTTCTCAGTAAGTCCCCAAATATATTTAAATTTAATAGAGACGGCGTTAATTACATTCATAGCAATTTAAATTTAAAGTTGAAAGTTTTTTCTAAGAACCCTAACACTAGTAAAGTTTTAGTTAAATCCTGTTGTAGTCTGATCAAAACCAGTTAATGTATAAAACAGACAAATTACAAGGGACAAGACCAATGATATATAGACTTTTAAAGAGTTTATTAAAAATAGACTTTTTAAAGAGGGGTTAACCATTTTATTTGTCATTAGGACTACATTGCTCCACCTGTTATGACTCATAAAATCACACAAGAGATTTGTAAATTGGTAAAAAGTTTCAAGAATATGTCCTCAATATTTTAACACACATCTAACTTGGTTCTTTAAATGGGTGATCATTTTTGCATAGTTTTAAGAATTAAGTTAAAACAAACATGCCACAAGTTCCTTGGGCAGAATTCCTTTGCCCTATGATTTTATATGAAATAGGTTAATGAGTATGTTGTCAGTCTTCTTCAGAGCTGACAAAAAATATCAGCCTGCAATCAGAAATTGCCCAGACTAAGGAAGCTTTGGCCAAAAACTATTGACATAAACACTGTCATAATATATTGCCATTCTAGGGACTGCCTTTGCACACTGCTCTACCTGCAGAACTGCCCCCAGTCCTGTGTAATTTCACATTCAAAACTGCAGCATAATAGAGAGAGATATTTTTTTCCAGAAACAATAGGGCAGGCAACACGTATGAAGCAGAAATTTAGAGGTGGTTAATCTAGCTTTAGGAATGCACTTTTCCAAACTCAAAGAATCAGGCCCTCAATGGTGGAAAATTGTCTGTGTTCACAGCCTTCAACACTGGGCAATGTGGTTTGCAAGATGCATTTTATTATTTAAAAAGTAATATTCATAGCCTTTTTTGATTCCCATATAATGGAATTCTTGTGGTTTTCTGAATATCAGCAGAATATTGGAACTGTTGTATTAGCCAATCTCCTAAGGGATCAACAGGAAAAATCACATTAAATGAACTTATAGGTTAACACAGTCATACAAAAATCTGAAGCATCTGATGTCAAGTACATATCATACTTTGTCAATTAATTGTTTTGTTCCTATTGAAAAACATGAAGAATTTTTCTACCTGACAGCCATAAATTTTCTTATAAATTTATTAGAATAAGTCATGGATTGAACCCAGAACTGTATCTGGAAATCTGGTCAGTTTGTATATTGAAATTACTTAAAATGGCACAAACCTGAATACACGAAAAGCTTAGAAAATTCAGATTAAGACTTTGGCCTCATTTATGACTTCTCAAATCAGGGACCGTACAGGTTTTGGTGTGAAATAAGAAAGGCAAGAAAGATTTAAGTCCAAGTGCTTTGTATTGCTGCCCAAAAGCATGGATATTGCTCTGATCTAAACGAGGGGCTTGTGCAGCTGCTTGACAGAATCATATGATGGAAGCATGCAGTGCACTGACTGGTCTTAAACAAAGAGGCTAAACTGCCTTAACCTCCATCATCACTTCCCACTAATATAAATCTTGTGTCTGACCCTAGAAGTTCACAGTAATGATAACTCCCTGATTCTAAACTGATTCTAGTGTTAAAATATTGTACTTCCCACAACTGTATTAAATTTTCTAACTCTAAATAACTTTTTTTAAAATCAAAACCTACATTATGTGTTTCTTTATTGGTTTTATTTTTAATTTTTTTTTAGACTCCTGTTCACGTATATAGTGAATAACTGTATATGTTCCTGGATGATTACCATAATTGCTTGCCATCATTCTTAACTATCAGATTTCATTCTCACTGTAGTTTCTTTCCCTGGATGAATGCATATGCACCTTGGAACGCATTTTATTACTCTATCATATAAGATAACAATGCCCAACAAATGAAACAAATGAGTAGTAGATACATAGCAATCCAGATTTGTTCTGGTTTCTAAGAGGAAGCAGGCAGAACCCATACAGGATACTCCGCACGTCCCTTTCTGTTATAAATAGCAAAATATGTAAGATAATGTGTCATGCAAATCTGGTCCACATTCTCTTAGGAGTATTTGGAATGACTGTCTTGTTGAGCCAAAGGTGAGCGCAGAATTTGGGAAGGCATCTCTTCCCCAAGCAGACCCTGCAGATCGGTTGCAGCTTGACTCTTTACCATATTCCAATGAAAACAAGTATAATTTTTCTGCAGCCTTAAAAGGCAAACTTAAGAATGATACCAAATGTTGCAGCACATGTGTTGATTTGTTATGTTACATTTCAGCTGTTAGTTATGCTAATGGAACAGTTTCGCATATTTCGTTTTGATGTATTTACTTTAATGCCTATGTGTACGTACTCTCTGCAATCGCCTGGTAACACCGATTGTACGATGTTCTGCTGTCACCACCAGGCCAGCACTGGAAATAAGAGAAGTAAAAAAACTCCTGGGCCTTAATGTTCAGCCATGCAACCACTGCAGAAACAATGTAAGCTGTTGTGAAATGAAACCAAATTAAAAACCATCAAGGACCGTAACCTAAGATTTGGCCTGCAACAAAATATATAGGAAAATGGTGACAGCCTAGGTAACTTCCATGTCTGCTGTGAGCAGGGTCCCTCACCACAAACAGGCCTGGGAAGATACAGGAGACAGTCAGGCTTAAGGGTACATTCAGTTGCCTGCAGCCTCATGCCATAAATAGAGCTGGAGTGGAAAACAACTAAGTAGGGTAGCAGCTCAGTTTACCCACACAGGAGAGAAGGAAGAATCCATGCCTCAGCCTCTGCTTGGAGTTTCTGTACAAATAACACCGATTCAGGTGAGAATTCTGGACAAATATGCAAAATTCCGTCATTTGCCCCAGTAAAACCTCCAAGAAGGAAAAGAAGACAAATTCAAGGATGTCCAGATGCTTAGTAACATAAGCCATATCAAGAGATTATTCTCACCTGCTCTCTACAGATATTTGTTCCAATAACATGTGAAGTAGCCTTGCTCTATTACATAGTATATGTTTTGAATATTGAAATATTCAGATAGGATATACTCCTACGCAAGGTTTAAAGAGGAAAATCATACCAAAGTTTCACAAAGTGATTTGAAAAGTTCCTTGGAGTTCTTCTAATGATATCACACTGCTGCAGTTTCCTTCCCTGACAGAATAGGTCTACTTTTCTGTCAGTGACAGCCATTAGCACCACTGCGGTGAAGCAGTTTAATTTTGTTTTATACCCTGATTTAAAGTGCATGCTCAATTAAGAATACTCATTTACAGGAAATATGAGTTCCACTTGACATTAAATAAGGGTCTAAATATCTATTTGGGGGATGACAATCATTAAAAGATAATAATGATACCCCGACAATCATAAAAATTAAAACCAGACTGACAAAGATCCATTTTCATTACTGAGGTCATTATCTGAGGTCTGGACTGTGAGATCCACAATTCTAACCCACACAGGAGATGGAAGGAAAGGTACAGCCCAATTAGATGGTTTAGAAAAAATGCTATCTCTGATGTTAACATTAAGCAGACAGTTTCCAAATATGACGCAAAGTAACAAAGGGGAGTTTAGGTAAACTGAGTATAACAGATAAAACTGGGAACAGGCAGCAGAGCCTAGAAGTCAAACTATGCATGTTTAACGTTTGAATCAAGAAATTCTATGGAAACAATCCAAAGAGCTTCTTTTATTGTCCACAACACAGATTTACTTTGGTGTCGGTTGTCAAGATTTAGAAACTTTTCTACTTTCTATCTTCTTTTCAGACTTTGCACTGCACAAATGCCATTTGTGAAGGGAATGAGCAAATGTATTTGTGAAAGGAAAACACATTATTTACAACTTACTTGAGCTTGCTTGCATATTTGAAAAGGTTGAAGAGTTTCTTGGTAAAAAAGCTGATGATAAGCCTGTAGGTCGAACCAAAAGTACACACAGTTCTTCCACAACTAAAGATGAAAAATATTGTAAGTCATTGCTACCCAAATATCACAGCTTTATACAAAGTTGACTTTCCAATGCAAGTATTATTTAGCGCCTTGGGGTCATCATAAATCAAGCTCAATTTAAGATGAATTTAATCTTCTGTTGCATACTGGCAGAAGGACAACATATTTAATGGCATCATCACTGTGATACTCTATCTTTTATTGTATCCTTTATGCATAATTGGCCATTAAAATCTTTAACATTGTAGTTAACATTTGAAGAGTAACCACACTTCAGTGGCATAAAGCCAGTGCTAAAGAAGAAATGCTGATAATGGACATGTATAGTTTGTGCCATGGTAAAATAGCATTTTGCAGCAATAAGCAAAACAATTAAATACTATGTACTTGACATATGTTACTGAGACTATCATTACATTTTTATTACATGCATTTCTAAGACACAGAGTCTTGGCCTCATTTCATAAACTTGAACAGCAAAAGATCTTTCAGAAGTCTAGATCTTTCCCCACGTCCTCTGTTTTAATCATGTGCTTATGGGGTTCAGACTTTAAAAATATCCTGAAACCCCCATGGCTAGCCAATAAAGAATGTGTTCCAAAAAGACAAGGGTAGGGAAGTTTGCTCCACAAACTGCAGCCTTCCAGATCTGGCATATGATTGAAATAGGTTCCACAGGTGAAAACTTTAAGCAAATAATTTTCAAAGGAGTCTGGCACCTGCAAAGGCTAGAGGACACAAGGGTGGATGCAATGAAAAACTAAGTTTCTTTTATTTAGATTTCTATCTATACACACTTCACATTTTTAGCTGAAGGTATTCAGCTTTGGAAACATTGGCTCTCGTCTTGTAGTAGCCAAAGGCATTTCTAGCTACTGCTGCTAGATTCTGGGTTGTGCCAGCAGTGAAACAGATGTCCATCTTGATTGCATTCAAATCTCCCCTAAAGACTCAATTTTTCTGCAAAGCCACTAAACATTGACTCAGATTCATAACTCGTTCCAACCAATCCTCAATTTACACCCAGCAATGAATGATGGATCTGCTGACTGGAGAGAAGAAATAGTGTTATGTTTCTCAGAAAACCAAAGAGCTTCATGGAAGCAGAAGAACGTTTTTAAAACACTGGAGATTTTGGACATCACTAACCCAACAAGTAAGAAGGAAGCAGATTATAGTGAGTAATAACATAGCAGATTTTCCATCTTTTTAAAAAATGTTTTTGTGGGTTAAGACCTCATTTTTTCTGCCAAGTTAAAGGCTAGTTTTTAAAAATGATTAGTCTTTTTTTTTTATCCCTGATGGTACAATCAGAATTCCAATAGGTTTGAGACAGTTAGAATCTGACAGCTTGGTTAAGACCTGTCATTAGTTTGCATATACATATGAACAGTTTATTGTTGTTGAGGGATTGAAGTCTCACAAGTAATAATTCATCCAGTCATCAATCTTTCTTTCTCCATTTTTTTTTCAGTCTGGCTGCCCTCTATAACTTGGCATTCAGTCAATTGTGGACTAAATTATCACAGAGTAGGAAAATGTTCATACCTTATTCCCGGACTCCTCACAGAATTGTGTGAAGTAGTAGCCTGCTCTGTTCTCCAAATAAAGAGACTGCAGCATGCTTTCCATTCTTGATCCCCCTAAGACAACACTGCCAGCAGCACTTTTCCCCTGGACAAATAAAACATAATTATACAGCGAGGAATAACAGGCTTTCATTATTTTCAAATGTCAGTATATTGCAATGGAGAGCCATGCAGTGTGTTCAATTAGTATCTTTATCCCATGAAACTAGACTCCATTTTCTACTACATATGCAATCTTAGCTGACAAGAGTTGTCTTAGCTCAGGCTACTGTGTTTTGAATTAAGAGAAGTTAACAGGTGGCTATTTGGTCAAGATTCAAAACATTTAACTATCATGGAACAAAAGATGTCTTCTGGGCTTACATCACTGACATCATCAACAAAATCATGAGCAATCCAGGGAGCAAGAAATCCATGCTCTTTACTGTGGCAGGCTCCTAGAGCATTTGAGGAAGAATACATCCATTTTGTCAATGCTCATAGAGAAGCCAGAGGAGGCTTCTGTAAGTAGTAAATTAGCTTCTGATGATCACAAGAGAGAAACTTTGGCTGACTTGCTGTCTCTGATAGCAGAAGTGGAAACAGATGAGTGTGGTGGATGGCAACCAGCTTCTTTCCAAACAATAACAGGGATGGAGAAGGGCAGGGAAAAGCCAGACTTGTGAAGCAGAGTAGGTAGATATCCCTTCCCAGTATGAAGTTAAACTACTAATCCCTGCATTCCCCTCTGCATTATATTTGTGATGGCAAATTGTGGGGTCCGGACTGTAAGTTCCAATCTAGCCCTGTGAGCGTAAATGGATGGTATTTTCCTCTCTCCGTGATGATGCCTAAAAACTGATAGTTCATGGCATGATCTTTTCCTGTATATACATTTTTAACTGCAATTGTCCCCTAATTGCAAAGACTAGCCTCTTTTTTTCCTGTAAAAGTTAACACAGGAGTAAAATGAATGCAGTGAAGAAATAAACAAAGTATTGTTTTGATGTGCAAAGCAAACAATTGTGCTCCATGCACATGTAAATGGGCTCACACTTCATAATATGTTTTTTCTTTTAATTGTGAGACCATGGGTATCAATAGCACCATGAAACATCAGGTTGTTTTGAGACTGTTCCACAAACAAGAAAGGTTTTGGATATATTTTTGATTGCCAGATGTTGACATCTCACATGTTCTATTTGTCAGCGTTTTAGCAGTTACTAAGAAAAGGCTGTTCTGTGCAGCCTGTTTCTCCTGAGGTTTGTTTGACTGAGGATCTGCTTAGCAGGCAATAATTCAACAAAGAAAAGAATGAAGTATATAAGTAATAAAGAGGGACTGTACAAATGAAACCTTTTCCTCTTATGATGTTACTATTTTAATGACTTTGTAAGGCAGATTCAGTTTTCATTTTAAGTCAGGTATCCTTCCCTAGGCAACAATTCCACCGAAGCATTTATCCAGAGTTTTCTAAAATATCCTACTGAACACATGGTCGCTATGGAGAAGATCAACACTTTCTAGTGAAAATAAACCTCAGTGCGTGCCATGATTTCCTATGAAAGACACCACAGAGAAAATGCTGCTGTTCTAATTGTACCTCTGCATAAAGCACTGACATTCATATAATCACCCCAATTCCTCCCCATTATTGACTACTTCATGTTTAATACTGCAGAATAAAGTGTTTTAACCCATGATTCAAGACAACCAATATTTTCAAGCAGTACTCACACGGAGCAACTCAGCATAGGTGTACTTTCTATAACCTTGGTACCTTGAATCTTTGGTGCCATCCAAAGCTAAGCAATGAATCATGTCTGTGCTCACTGACTTTGACCTGGATCACAAACAAAAATTTTTCAACACATATTGAAGAAAAATCTAGGACTGTTTATAAAATAAACACATAAGAAGGGGCACAAAAGAGGTGGAATGACACAGTGAATAGTAGAGGAAAAAGTACATGGAGTTAAAATTTACGATAAATGGGAAAAAATATAGAGGAATACTTTTTCATGTGGCTTTGTGGAAATCACTGGCACAGCATGAGTTTGAGAGCTGGGCTAGTGCTTGAAACAGCTTAAAAGAATATGAATGTATGTAGAGAATATCAACTATTACGTAAGAGAAAATACTTGTATTTGGGGAAATAAACCCTTTTGTGGGTTTATTTTTGTTTGTGGCACAAACAAATGAGAAAATAATCAGCCAGGGAGGAATTCTCCACACATACAATCTGTACCATAACTGTGCTTCACTAAGCAGATTTTTACATTAAAGAAAAGTATTCATGAAAACAGTAGGATCTAAAATACTTTCATAAATATTTTAGGTATAATGGTTGTGCAGAAAGATATACAAGGGAATTGTACTTACCACATTCTACTGCTAGGAATGTCATCCTGTTGGGTACTCTGACTTGATGTCAGGGTAGGTAGTAATCTTGATGATCTCTTCAAAGAGAAATTTGGATTAGCTAGTTTTAATAAAGTCATTGGTGAGTTTGTTCTACTTTTCTAAAAGAATTTACAGAAAAATAAGGCAATTTTGATTATTTTTCCAGCTTTGTGTTTTCTTAATGTCGTCTCATTAACTGCTCAAAAACATTCAAGGGTTTTCAGGACTGTTTTTCCTTGTCAATCACAATATGTAAAACTGCAAATTGCAAAAGTCTCTGAATATCTTCCAAGATTTTTCAGCATACCTTAATAACCCCTATAGCTTAAAAATTACATTTTTAACAGGTAGAAATATGTTACATGCACTTTGTACAGAATTACAGAGGATGCCAGGTGGAGGGCATGTGAACACATTTTGTGAAAATTTACAAAGATTACCTTAGGTTAGCTCACTGTAAGATAGAAACAATCACTCAGACTGGGAGAGAAAGGGGGCATTCTGTCACATCATCACCAATTATTTTGAACAGAATCATGACTTCTTCGAGATGCCAGTTGCATTCAGAGTGCCCTCAGAAATTCACCCAGAGTTACTGCTCTTTCTAAGCTTTGCAATCACAGTGTAACTGCAAGATCCAAAGCCCACATTTTTTATAGAAAAAAAAAATAGGAGCAAGAAATGGGCTATCTGCTGATTCTGTGAGGTTCATGGTGCCAGTTCATATTTTTTGTCAAGTGCTGAGTTCAACAGGGGATGGAAAACCTGCAGAGTTAGGATCCTGTCTGCCTGACCTTGCTCCCATTCCTGCTGTGAGCAACAGGAATCTGGCTCCTGAACCCAGTTTCTTCTGAACAGGAAATGTGACACACTGTTTTCCTCCATTATCTCCATGAATTAGATTTCAAAGGAAGTAACTCTAGCCTTGTCACAGTTCCAATTTTAGCAAGGAATTTTTCTTTCCCTTCCCCCTGCCGTGTGTGCCCTGTGTATAGGCCATCAGGTAGCTATCAGGTGAACAAAAGAATCAGCCGATCCACTAATTGCCCAGAGATTAGTCTCCTAAGAAACGGGCAGATGGAGGAGCTAAGGTCTACTTTTTTCTCTCGTCTCTGGGGCAATGGGGGGAGGAGGAATTTTGGTGGGCTGGGGGTGTGGCTGGAACGCAGGTGGGGAGGAGAGGCTGGTGTGCCGGTGGGCTCGGGACCTGCTGCGAGCTGCAGATGCTACCTGGGTTTCTTTTTTCCTGTCGGAGGGGAGTTTGCTGCTGCTCTCTGCTCAGCTGTTGCTGGCTGTAGGCCCTGCTTAAAGCAAACTCTAACCAGCTGAAGATCGTGAGTTTTCTTCCATTGGGAGAACTTTCTGTTTGATTGCTGTTTTTTTTAGTTCCTTTCCCTTCCCCCCCACTCCCTCTCTCCTTTCCCAGTGTGAGAAGGGGAGGGGAACCGAGGTGGGGTTTTTTTTTTGGTGGTTTTTTTTCCTCCGACATACCCTGGAGGGTGTTGTTTTTTCCCCCATCCCACGTGGCAGCAACCAAGGATCCCACAGCGCCGCCTGGTGACGGGCACTGGACATTACAAGTTCTGCTCCTCCAGTGATCCAACAGCGCCACCTGGTGACTACAATAGAACACTACAAGTTCTGCATCTCCAGTGACCCAACAGCGCCACCTGGTGAATGGTACAGGACATTACAAGTTTTGCATCTCCAGTGACCCAACAGCACCTCCTATTGACTGTGGTTGGAATTGCACCAAGGGGCACAGAAATTGAACTGTTTACTCTTCCTTTGCTGGTTTATCGGTTTGGGTTTGAAGGGGTTGTTTGTGGGTATAGGAGTGTTGTTTGGTTGTTTTACTTGTTGTTTTTTTTTGGTGTTTCTGTTAATACACACATACTTTTAATAAAGGGCTGTTATTTTTCCTTTTCCATAATTTTGTTCTTTTCCTTCAATCGGAGCCTTTTAATTTTAGATTTATAATTGCTTAGAGAGAAAAGTTTGGGTCTTTTCTCCTAACTCACCCTCAGCAAAAGACCCTTGTCTCATTTAAACTGGGACAAGCCTAAAACTATTCAACTCAAAGTAAGAGAGGTGTGTGTGTTAACACACACTGTGAAATAGTCCATCCAGTTCTTGATACTGGAACCACAGTTTCAATTCACATTTTCCAAGTAGCTTGTGTCCCAAGGTTTAACAGTGTGTTGCTGAAAACCTTCATTGCAGTTACCTGTCACATTCAGGCTTTCAGAGAAGAAAACAGTCAAAACTAAACTGGCCACCTGCAAGCTACTGTGAAAAACTCTGTGCTGTATGGTTCATAGCCCTCTGTAGAAAGCAAAAACCACGTGTAGCTGATTGAAGGGTTGTCGTGATAGAAAATGAGCAGAATTCTGCCCTCTTCACAAACATGAGGGATAGATTCAGGGTAACTGCAGTGAAGTAGGAATGACTCTGGATTAAGATAAGGCTGGTTCAAGGGCAGAATCTGCACTGCTAGATACTTAATTTTGCAATTCTGAGAATTTTCAGCTAAAATATCTATCCAAAGGACTTATGAAACAGCCAGGATGTAACTGAGAAGATAATGTGACTCAATGTATAGGAATTTGTTCCATAACATATAATAAAATGTTATTGCATTTTTATATGTAAAAATCTTCAATATACCAGCTTGCTAAATCTTGACTTCCTAACAACCAAGTACCATATTCATCTTCCATTGAATTTAAGGAGTTCTGTCATTGTCTTTGATGGGATAAAGCTTTGTTCTTAAATGTTGTGATCCTACTTACCCGAAGAAGGGAAGGTTGTATCCCAGGTATGCAAGACTTTTGGGTCAGTGGTAACAATGACACTAGTTGTGGGAAAGGATCAATGTCCACCCTTGGTCTCTCTTGACACGTGTGCCAGAACTTCAGTTTTGCACTAGCAGCTTCTATTGCTTTTGAATGAGTGACACAAAATCTGGGGCCCCTAGGGAGAAAAAAGCTAATATGTAGAACTTTCCAAAACCATGAAACACTGGGCTATTCAGCTTCTTTTTTTTTTCCCAGTGATGTCATTTACTGTATCAAGATATGGTGCTACATGCACCTAGAATTAAAAATCAGTTAGTGTTAAAGATATATTTAGACACTGCACGTTTCCAAATTTAAAAGCAAATTATACATAAATAAACTTAGGCAAATTCTACACCATGACATGGTTGCCTTTCTATGATTCTGCAGTAGGATATGCCTCACTCCATCCTACAGCAAAAACAGGAAAGGATTGTAGGCCACAGGACAGAGACCAGAGAATTACAGAATATTCTGAATTGGAAGGGACCCACAAAGATTGAGTCCAGCTCTTAAGTGAATGGCCCATAGAGGGATCAGACCCACAGCCTTGCTGTTATTAGCACCATGCTCCAACCAACTGAGATAATCTCAGAGTCACTGCACGCCATGTAGGGCTCCACAGTAAAATTCATAACTGCAGGTATTAGTTTATGACTGCAATTTGTTGATCCCCCCTGGGGAGGAGAGAACATCTTCAAAAATTCAGCCTATGTTTTGGAAATAGGTTAGATTTTATATCCTCACTTAACTTGTAAATATGTAAAAGTCATTTTTTATGACAGACATTGAACAGTAAAGTCTCAGTGCCAAATTCCGCACAGATGTATATACAGAGCATCCTCAGAAACTTGAGAAGAGCAGTAAGGGGAATAGATTAGGATAGAATTAACCTTCTGTGCCTGGAGGGGCTTCCCTATGCTAGAGACTAAAGTTTAGTTGAATGGTATCCAAGGCAGAGACACACAGAGCAGTGCAGATGCTCTGGCAGAAAAGTACAAAGGGCTCAGTAAGGCAGCTCTACCTGTCTTCTCAGTAGATTGCAGTGTAGCTTAGGCTCAACTAAAAATTCATGTGTGTCAATGATGACATTGCTTCCAATAATTTCAATGGGATAAATGAGATGAACTAAACCTAATAGGCTTATCAGAGAAAATGGAAATCAGTTAAACAATAGAATTTTAGTTCCTGTCCATTTATTCATACCAGTAAAGAAGTAAAGGTTTCACTACTTCAGGCTGAATCTGTCTTAAATGCCATATATTCCACTGATCTCCATGCAGTAGATCAAGTCTGAGTAATATTTCTGAAGTGAGGAAATAGTCTCCACTGCTCAGCAGGTACAGTTTTTTCATCTTACTGAGATGCCTGCAGTCAACAAAAATAGTCACATAAGCATGTATCAGATGCCGTACAGAACTGAGAACAGTTCATCCTACTGATTAAAGTGCTGTCATGCAATATGTTTTTAATTGCAAGTGACAGAAGCCAAAACAATTTTTCTGCAAATTAGAGACAGGTTGTGTATAAGATAAAATGTACAGTGCCTCAGAACAGACAATCAGAATCCAGCAGAGCCTCTCATTAAAGCGCTTCGTCATACTGAATGCCCTACTTGTGAATTTAATTTCTTTTATTCTTTTTTTTTCCTGTTGCCATCTGTTTTCCAAATCTCTGTCTAAAACAGCTTTAATAAATATGGCAATTCTGACTTCATGTAAATTTTGCAAACCTGACTCTGCAAAAAGAGTTTTATCAGCTTCAGCAGAGTCATTCCAGACACACCTTGTCAGGACAGTCAGGATTACTTTAATTGTGTCTATTCTATTCAAACATTACAATTTACTCTGAAATCTCAAAACCTGCATTGATCTAGCTGGGTTACAAGTGTCGAAGCAATAAGAATAACTGTTAAATAATGAGAAATACCTTTGCTGCCTTGTAGTGTTCTTAAGAGCCTTTAGTCTTTCAATATCCATCCAGAGCCACCAGTACCTCTCCCCAAGTGTTCCTTTAATGAACTTCTTGAATCTTTCAAACTCATGTCTGTTGCCAGTGTCGTAAGTCCCGTGACTGATACACCAGGCAGCCCTGCTGTCTGGCCCACCACTTTCAGAACTTGAACTTAAACTTACTTCTTCAGGATCTCGTTTTCTTACATCTCCCTTGGAGTCCAAGGCAGTAAGTGGAGAAGAACTTTGTTTAAAGCGTGACTCTGCACTACTATGGGCAACACTGTCACCAGCTGGCTGGTGAGTCAGTTCTGAAATGGGTTCCTTTTGAGTATAAGCTGGCATGAATTCTTCTGATTTCTGAGAAGTTGTTCTTTCCTGTTCATTTTCTTCTTTTGCTTCACTGTCCCATTTTGGGTCTAGATAAACTCTTAACTGCCTGTGGGAAGGAGGTTCAGCAATGGCCACAGAAGAGCCCTCCTCAGCCTCGCTGGGTCTCTCACTAGTAGCATCAGCTTTTGCAGATGCAGTCCTTGAAGGGGAAAGGAAACTCTCTTGTTGGCATTCCTTAGACAGGGAACCTGCTTCTGCATTAAATCAGAAAAGATCATTGAACACCCTTTTGATTCAGGACTGTTCTCTTGCATATCAACATCGCCAAGTTAAAAAATGCAACATATTTATATTTTGATACTGCAGAACAATCACACTATGTCATTTTGCAGAGGAGGGAATAGCAGAGGTGCTTCTGTCATTGCTATCTGCCTAGAAACTCAGCCCAATGACTCAGAAACTCACTCCCTGTTGAATTCAAGCAGAGCAGCAAGAGTTCAGGAACAGAGTTCTGCCACCCAGAAATGGCCTCTTTCCGTTTAGAGATGTTTTATAACTAAGAAGTTCAGAATAGTGGCCAGCCTTGTTTTTTTGGTCTACACTCCTCTACTTAATTCCTTTTACCCAACTCTCCCTCAACTCTGTGCCATTAAGCATGCACTGCCATCATGGTCACTGAAAATGAAACTTACTGCTTTAACTTGCTTAAATATCTTTTCTGCTTCTGCCAGCCTGTTAGAAAATTGATTTTTTCTGGAGCATGTTAGCAAAGATGACCTTGACTATACACACTGCTTAGCTAGGTTAATGCTACCCTCACTGTACAAGTCAGCCCTGTAAAACTGAGCTGAATAACTAAAGATATCATGAACAACAGCAGAATCTAAGTGAAAGTGAAAAAAAACCCAAAGTCATAATTAAATTGAGACTCTACAATAACTTCATATCATCTATCAATACAGTGTCTAAACTACAGAATAATCTGCATCTTCTGTATGTCACTAAAGCTAAACTATAAACTTTCATGCTCCATTATATCACTAAGGCAAAACACTGTCCATGAGGAGACTCTGAGGATGTGCACCACATGAGGCTGTGACAAAAAAGGGCTAAATCTCTCAGATCCACTAAATTCACATTTGTAATGTTATCAGCCTATGTAACCCTCTGTGGTGGTCTACTCATAAATGGCAATGGCAGTTAGACATTCCTTTCAACTTCTTCTGAAAATAAGCCACGTCTAACCAGTGCTGGTCACTGTCAAAGACAGTCACTTGGATTAGGAACATGGCATAGAGATCCCCTGCTCTGCACTTACCTAATATCTTTAATATCTATCGCAAAATATGTTGATATTAATATAAAAATTAGTGTGATTAAAATATCTTTCTTATTTCCAAACTATTTCAGTTGTTTTCACTTGACAAAGAAAAATTTTAGCTTCTCAACACAGGTCTATGAAATGAAAACATGGAGACCTGAGGCAATTAGGGAGAGAGATACAACAGCTCCTGAGCAATAAAAAGCAAAGTGGTTCAGGGGTTGTTCAAGACTACTGTTGATAACCCTGATGCAATTGAAGCAATGAGAAAGGAATTTAAATTGGTATTGTCCAAGCAAATACCTTCAGCTATTGAACTTTAACTACAGACTGTCTCTGCGAGAATGGTGCATTTGTGACCTCTCTGTTCAAAACACTGCTCAAATCAGTGCTAAAGTCATGAGCTGCAAATAAGTGTGACTTGAATAACTTCATTAATAATGCATACATCAGCAATATATTTTCTGGGGTGATCCTCATGGTTTGGGGAAGAAGGCAGACTTCTAAGGTTATCATGTCTTCCAATTTTCCATTCAGCCATTGGACTCTAGGGTCCCAGCAGTATAAAGTGGAATGGCTGATTTTTTTCTCTGAAAATGGGACAGAGAGAGCTCCTAACATATGAGCTGAGGCTTCTCTGTTCATCTTACTACTGTGTAAAAAGCAAAGGCAGGGCTATGCAATTGGGTGTATGTCCACATGTGCATCTGTATGCATATCATTCTCCCAGAACGTTTGAAGCCTGCTAACAATTTCAGTTAAATTTGAAGATAGACAGGAATCCAAATGATTACATTTCATAAGATTCATAAAACTTGGCAGTCAAAAGACCCTTAATGCCCAACATAAATACCTTAAGAAGATGGCTGCAACACAAATTATACATAATCAAATACCCAAAGAATCTAGACAAGAAAATCTTGCAAAACACATGAAATGGGGGAAAAAGGCAAAAAAGCCCTCAACTAAGACTTACATATATACATAGAAATACTTAAGAAAAGAAGCTACTACTATTACAAAATTACTTGGCTATTAGATCAAATTTTCACCTAATGTCATAGCTATGGAAAGAAACAAATGCTGTTCTGAAGCCTCAGATACCACGTGATACTCAGAAGGTAATAAGTGGAGTTTGCAACAATTCCTTGTAATGCCTTTCCTTTCCACCTAGTCAGAGTTGGGTTATAAACCACAGGGTTACTTGTTACTTACCCAGAAGGCTATCTTTTTCACTTGATGATTTGTCTCTTTCATACTGAATATTTTGAATTTGACTAGAAGCTACAGGGTGTGTAGATGAGTCTGTAGTTCTCATGGAATCACCTTGTTTTGCTAATGTAAACCAATCCTTCACCTGAGAAACTGTAGCCTAGGAAAAGAAATGTGATAAATTTCTTTATTTATGGCATTGTTTCTGAGACCAGAGGGCTTACTGTCCATGATGATTTTGTGCAGTCTGTTTGTGTAGACTTCTCTAAGGATAGTTGCCAGTGAGGAGAGCTGTATGATAGGAGCTGAGCATACTTGTAACACAGATTCTGTTTAACCTGTATTACAACGCTCAGACCTTCTTTTATAGTACAAAGAATTTTGAATATAAAAGCTTTCAGAGAATCATACAATCATAGAATGGTTTGGGTTGGAAGAGATCTTAAAGATCATCTAGTTCCAACTACCATGCCATGAACAGGGAACCTTCCACTAGACCAGTTTGCCCAGGAATCAGTTGTCCCATCAGGACAGGTTGCGTGACCTCAGTTACAATAATTTTACCCAATGTTTTCTATCTATCCTGATGTTACGCCCACTAAATGTGTTTATTTTACCTGGCCAAGTGATACATAGAACTTCTTCATGGTCAATGAAGTGTCATCTTCCTCAGGATGGGGGGAACTTAGGTCTTGCTTCCTTATCCAGGGATCGTAGTCACTATCTATAATGAAATTCATGCCAGTCTTGCTCCATTCTACCTGAGATATCAATTTAGCTAGTCTGAAATTAAATGTTGAGATAATAGTTAATTTTAGCTCTTAATCAGAGAAACAGTTGATTTTTCCACAGACTAGGTAATTAAAAAAACTGATCCATCTAAAAATAAAATTTTTACAGAGAACTTCATGATCTGCTTTGTTCCTAGAGTAATAGAATTATAGAATATCCTTATTTGGAAGGGACTCTCAAGGATCATTGAGTCCAACTCCTTATTATTTCAGCCTTCACCTGCTGTTACATATGTAAATGCCAGTACTGCCATTGTATAGTTCACCAGCTTTACAGATAGTGGCCTCCTTCGTATTATCAACCTCTACCAGTAAAACTGACTTCTGTTGGGATGGTTTTTCATGTATCTATGCAGTCTCAGGCCCGGTGAGAAGACTTGAACATTCTGTTCACTAAAATTAAACTATTCTCCCTGATTGCAGAAGCCCTGTATCACCACCAGACCCTACATCTCCAGTTCTTGATACAAACATTCTTCCAGCAGTAATGCCACAGCACTGATCGTACTAATCGAACTTTCAGATGATAACAAGACAGCCGGCACTCTCATGTTCATCTGGCTGCTGTGTGAGGATCTTACAGTACTGAACAGCACTTCAATGAACAGCTACCTCGTGTAAGTGTGAACGTGATGATGTTCAGGAAAGGCAATCTTAGAATCACATGATAATAGTGAAGATGCTCTGAGCTCGAGAACTGTGGAAGAACTTAATTAAGTTAGAAAGAAATGCATAACCACAGGAAGATGAAGCCTATGCTTGAGCCTACAACCAAGTGAATACTCAGGTGCATTTGTGCCCACTATTTGAGACAAAACAGGATTTAATTCTACAGTTGGAGTGTCTTCATCTTTAAATGAAAGTTTCCCTTTTAGCATCTGAATTTATCCTGATTCTGATTCAGGAACACATTTGAACCACTGGCAGCAATTGAAATTATCTACATGTTTAAAGTTAGTTTTATATAATTCTCTTGGGTAACTCTGCTTGATCAAATAAACAGTTTGCTACAGCAGAAGACAAAAGTTAGTGTTTCATGAGGCCCAGATATGTATAAAACAGCTGCTACTAAAGGTAAAATGGAACACTCTCATGGTTTCCTCGTTCTCTGCATACTTTTCCCCTCGAACTTAAGTGCAGTCATCAGGTTATTGAAAATAAAAAACATTTTTAAATTTTTACTGTAAAAGTCTGTACCCCAGTAACTACTCTGTCATTACAATCAGCAAACATGAGTTTTGTGAACCATACTGCCAGCCTGCCTCTCCTTTTGGGCCCTGAAACACACTACAATTAGCAGCATCTAGACACAACCTTAAGGGATACAGAAGTAGATCCTCCCAAAAAGCACAGTAAACCTCCTGAACATCTGCCGAAAGAACATCTGGGAAAATACAGCAAGTTTATAACAGTAAATCATCCAGTTGTGCCATGGCATTCCACAGAAAACTTTGCTAAAGGAACTCTGACAGTGGGCCCAAAGACACAAAACTAATAATGGAAATGAAAAGGACTGGGTGCTTTTTCCAAATGGATTTAATGGATTCATAACTTCTATTTATATGGCTTACATATTGACTAAAGAAAGATGCATTGCTACCATGATATCTCTGAGGAACAGCAATTTAGAAATCAGTAAGCCCCCTTCTTACCCTCTTTGTAATGGTGAAGTATAGGATGTAATTCATGGTCAAGGAAAATTACAGAATGATGAGTGAAAAAGGTCACTGAATTTATTTTATCCAGATCACTAAAATGCTAAAATAAACAGGATGAGAGGAGGGCAAAAACTTTTTACGAGTGCTATCAAGATTAATTAAACAGAAGAAGGTAATGTACAAACTTAAAACTGAAATACAGAATAAAAGATTGCAATACCTGTATTCAAAGTAACAGTCACTTCCTAGAAATGCTGGAAGCCTTTCTTTCTTAATCCACTGAATTGCTTGTTCTCGATCAAGACACTATTAAAAAAGAAATGCCAAAATTTGCAGTACTCCTCATTTTCTTGTTTTGTTTGCCACGTAACTGCTTCTCTCCATCCCCCTTCTACAGAAGCATTGTCTCAGGAAGATAAATATACAGTAAATATCACTTTCATGCTGGGACAATTGAGCTAATTTACTTTCCTATTAAAAGCTAAAAAGGTCTAAATCTGATTTCACCTAGTAGTGTACAACTTTTGTAACAAATCATGAGTGTTTTTCCTTCAGAAATAGTTTCTTCAGAATCATGCTTTTACTGTACAATTCCAAATGCAAATTAAATGTACATTAATTTTCTACAATAGGAAATTGCTAATTTTTATGACTTTATAACATTTTATAACTAACTATTGCATTTTTCCTCTAGAATTTGAAGAGTAAGGAACCCTTAAATTAAGTTATATTCGCAGTGACAGAGCTGTGGATATTAAAAACAAAATCAAACACGTAGAAATCCAATCAGTTACCGCCTCTCGCATTTTTATGTTGGATTATTGCAAAACTGCACTGCCCACAGCAACTGTCATAGAGGAAACATAACTGTCCTAGGACCTGGGGCCACCACAGATATCTGCTCAGGCAGCCTGAGCCTCAGTGCCTCGTCAAAGCAGAAAGGAAGGTGCCTCCAAAGCGTGGTTTCGGAATTGAAAGGGAGTGTTGAGCAGCAAGCTCCACAGAGACAGTTCACCAAAAATGGATGTAGGAACTTACGCAGGGAATAAGATCTCTGACTGCAGGCCACAGTGATCCATATCGGTTTCCCTTAGAAATGGCACACAGCACACGTCAATGTTTTTTAATAGCATATTTTTTCCACTCTTAGGCAATGACTTGTTTTATTTTTCTGAGGTTTATTTTTCCTTTTAGTGAAGGTGAGATTAATGATTTTGAAGAATGCAGTAACCACCCTTGTCTATAAAAACAGGTGAAGTGTGGGCAAGGATGGATACTACTTTCTCTATCAAGTAATCAGTTTATGTAGATCACAGTTTAAATTTTCTTTCTATGAGCTAATATTCCATTAGGGGCAAGGGTTATTTCTGCCTCATATGTATCTGTAGGGGATTAAAAAAATCTGAATTACTCAGAAAGTGGGTGGTTTCATTTAGAGAGAAGAAAATATTTCAAAATATGGAAAGCTTATGTTGGCAGTGGCTCATACAATGTAATTTGTGGAGATGGAGGCTAATTACTCCCAACCACATAGTGCATGCTTCTTTTTGGCAATTGACAAGCTTTTTTGAAATACAGAGGATAGTTTCTTTATTTTGGCATTTAATATTTATGTATTTACTGACTTACAGCCTAGTTTTTTATCTGAATGATTCATAACATGCTCATGTCTGTAAATGGCTGGTATACAAAGTTGTATGTACTATCAGAAGGAAAGAATCTCTACTCTTCCCCTATCCCCAGAGAAAGATGCTACATTTAATCTGATGGGGTTTTTTACCTTCGTTAGCTTCCTTACCCAGTCAGTCTTAGGCCTTGCTAGGACCCAATCCAGCAAAGCTTTTAGCACGTGTTTAAGTTTAAGCATGTGTTTAACTTCCCTTGACTAAAGTTAAACACATACTTAAGTGCTTTGCTGAACTGGGGTTTCTCTGAAGTAAGGTATGTGGGATGCCAGCCAGTTTCTCTCCATAGCTGTGATCAATTCTACTCACATCCACAGGTTTTTTTCCCAATGCAGCTTACACAAAGTTGATTTTTACTATTGATGAGAAGATACTTACTTTCATATCAACGATTTGCAAATATGTAAGCACACATGCAGAGAACTTTTGCTTACCTGTAAATTTGTAACTGTCTGAGAGGGAAGTAAAATACAGAGAAAAATACCACTGCATGTATTTCTTAGACAAGATGTGCTTAAATTCAGGCTGTACCCTGAAAGGCCTACTAGGATTTTCCAATCACAGCTCCTTTTCATAAGTAACCTGCCAGTGATGGCCACTCAAGCTGACCTTTTGTAAGACGTAACATTTAAGCAACTGCCACTCTCTTTGGTCAGTGTGAAGAAGGCAGCCAAAGCAAACCAGACAGCATCACCTGCTGCCTGGAAGACCAAATCCTATTTGATTTGAAGTGGACTGCTTGATGCAGTTAGTCTGGGGTGGCTTCTTCTGGATCAGTCATTCTAATATAATGAATGAAGCTGTCTTCCCTCACCTGATGTATTTGCAGTAACCATTTTGGGCACAATTTCACGGGCCATTCTGCTCCAGCTCAGACTTTAGATGCCAAACTGAACTGGATGAGGCATCTACATTACCCATCCAGTAAAGAAGGAGTCAAAAATAAGAACAAATATCATCCTTTCCCACCAAAAGAAGAAAGGGTTCTGAGGCATACTGCTCCTCAGAAGGCCATAATGCTTCCCCATTTATGGAAAATGGCCCAGAGGAAGAAACAGATTCTTAAATAATGCAGAAGCCCTCTTTCTCCAAACCACATGAAATATGAAAGTAACAGTGAAACGGCTTTGAATTTGTCAAGAAAGGCCATGCCCAGTAGCAATGATGTGAGGTTACTCAACAGCCAATGTTAGCAACATTTGCACAAGCTCACAGAGCTTCCTCAGTCTGATGCTGAGAGCAAGTAAGAAATTGAGAATAGCTCTCCTGCCTTTGTGCTCCCAAGCAAAGTATTTGTGAAAACAATTATTTAACATGGTAGGGATGTCTGGGCCTTGTCCTTTAGTAGCATTTGTCCAGTTTCAATGCAAACAATTGCAGTATCACATTAGTATCATTTTGTTAAACAACACTGCCTTTTGACCTCACTCAACACTGTTTCTTTTCTGAAAATCGTTAGGCTTATGCTGGACAAAGCAGCAGTTTGTTACAACTCCCTGCTCTTCTCTCAGCTTTCCAGCTATGATATAATTTAGAGGAGCCACTGCTAAAAATGTAGCAAGACCTTAGACTGGCCTTGAGTGAAATGATGTCATGTCAGTCACATCAATGCGAGGTAAGCAAGAGAGGAATAAACCAATCATCCCAGTGAAATATTTTATTTCCTCCAAAGCTACTGTTTAAAGGTAAACTCCCACATCTAATTATACCGACTTGGGTTCTCTGAGGTGCTTCGACTCCTAATTTTAACGTGCCTAATTTGGTGCCCTGAAAGTAGGTAGATAAGAACATCAAAATTGATACTAAGCAAGTATGAAAAATGACTTTTTTTCTAAAATCCAGCCCATCTTTCCATTTATTTAGCCTTCTTGTTGCCAATGATTATTTTTTCTGGTCTTTTCAATTGATGCTAACTATGTAAATCCTTTGGGAATTAATGGAAGAGAGACTTATGTGTTGCCAGACCACAGATGAGCTCATAGCCACACAAGGAAATTAATTAATAAGGAAAGACTGAGCTGCATTAGTTTCAGTCAATTTGCACATTCCAGGGATCACTAGTAAAGTAACTGTTGTCATAATATTTTTTCTTTTAATATTAAAAAGTATTCAGACCACACAGCTAAATCCTGCCCTACAGAATCTTCAAAATTCTGTGCTACAGGATGTACATCTGTAATTCCATTCACTTGTCTGCTAGACACATGTGCATTACAGGGCATAATTTGGCCCATCATTATGTTTTCCTAACATAAATTAACATTTTTCCCAAGCTACCAAGCCAAACACAACAATAATTACTGCCAGTATCTCTACAGTAAGATCTAAATATAAAGTCAGGGGCTATAAGATGCTTACCATAGTGTTGTAATTTGGATCCATATTGAAGGTTGGAGAAGCACTGTGCATTTTGGAGAGCTGCCCATCATTCTTTGCTTTCCTTAGAACATCATAAATAGGATTTGGAGGTTTCTGATCGTGTAGATTTTTTTTCAGCTGGCTTTCCAGGCGTCGTGGGGCATAATTAACTACTTCAAAAACCCCAAAGTCTGAGTTAAACTTCACTGGTTGGGCAAAAGTCTACAAAAGAAGTTTGGAAAGTTTATGACATTGTAATAAGGGAACTCTCATTTAAGAAAGTTACTTTTTATAATACAGAGGCATCCTACAGAATACAAGCTGGTATTAAGAGGCTTCTTTCTTTTGGGGCCTGGAATAGTATTTTTTCTGTATATTTGCTCTTCAGTCTTTTTGCTGTGTAGCTTTCCAAAGTATTCCTACTTTTTCTCGCAGCTATGCTTAATAGTAAAGAATTTAACTCATTCTAGATCACAGGCAATCCTTTTTCACATGCAAATAATAGATCCTGTACAAGAATGTCTATGATATATAATTCACAGTGACCTTAGTAACTGTTCTGCAGGGAATAACTTACCTACAGGATCAGATCTCCAGTGTTAGTCTCCCATTTGTTATCACCAACAATCAAGGCTTGAAAATATTAGCAATGAAGCTGATCTTCCAAATCTGAGATGCATTTGAGGAGGATAAATATGAAGAGTTTCATATGTAGGAAAGGCTTTTCACCATATTGTTACTTGTAGGTCAAACAACTACCAAAAACCCATGGCCTGCAGTAAATTTTATTATACATCACTAGTTCAGTCAGATACTGTTTAATATGGGAGACAGACCAATTTTCAGCTATGCAATTCTGACTTTTGTCAACTCCCAAAAACCCACTGCATGTGTACACACTAAATCAAAGCCATCTTTCATCTTTCAAGCTCTGGTATTAGGTATTTCCTAAAAAACTATCTTTCAAATTCACTTACTTGAAGAGGGAAAATACGGAAGGATTTTTCAAAAGTAGTGGGGGATACCAAGACACTTGTGAATATGCGATTATATCAGACCATGTGGGCATCTCCACACTCAGCTGGGGATGAGAAGGCATGTTGTGTTTAAGAACTCAAGAAACTATTGGCCACATCTAGACCAAGAGCCAAAATTCATTTTGGCTTCACTCCAGACAGGATCCCACCTGGTGTTTGTACAGTTGTCATTCCTCTGCACTTAATAAGATTATTTTATTTTTTCAAGCACTGTATTTTTCATTTCCTTGAACTTTTTCATAAAGCACATATATGCACACATAGACATAATTCATATACATACTCCATACGCTGAATACATGTTACATATAATACAGAAATATATTACAGACCGATTTTATTCTTCTTCACACCTGTATAAACCCAAAGTAATGATGTTAGTGTCAGCTATTTTGTTGCTTCTGTTTGAAGCTCCCTTGTAGCGCAATGCCCAGAACCATGTGGCTGCAACATGTGGTTTTAGCATTCCCTACTTATCCCATAATGTCTCACTGTGGAGGCTCAGCCTGGCAAAGCACATAGCAAGTGAGAGCTTTTAGTGTATGGTTACTGCCTATGACATCAGACCGTCACTGCTCAGAGCCGTGCACTGAATCGCACGAGTCTGTTCACTTGCCTAACTGCAGCAGAAATCATGCATTGGTTTTTGTTCTCTGACACCTTGTGCCTCTTTTGGCATTAATTTTCTCAAGGGCACTCTGCAGGTTTTAGTGGTTTTTTTCCAGATGTACGGAACAGTATTTTAAAAAGCCTTCTATGTGTGGTACACTTCTCTACATTCAGACCTCCTCCCAATTTGCTATGTGCATGTTTCATTTACTTTCAAACCTAATTTGGGTTGCTACCAATTTTAAGTGATTAACTGTGCAACCTTAATAGCCTCCAAATGTATTCTTCCCTATTTGTTTTCTCATGTTTTTTAAAAAAGAAACAGAAGAAAGTACACTAAGAAACATGGTAGTTCAGTCTCTTAGGATTTGAAACACTCTTCCTCACAGAAAAAATCAAACAAAATGCAAATTTTATAATATAGGGCTAAGTGACTAGACATGACCAGATTATTTTAGTTCCATGCTGTTCAAGCTAAAACCAAAGCAAATACAATATCATTTTATCACATGCATCGACTTTCATTTGATCCTTTGTAACTTACTCTAGACCTAGGTTTTTACAATACGTATTCTATTTAGTGGAACAGAAAACTACAGCAACTTTAATGCAGTGAAGCAGATGCTAGTGACAATTTTTAATATGTAAAGTGTATTGCTATTCTGGGAGTCTGACTACCAATCATTTATAAGACAAATATACTAATGGAGCAGAAGAACATGCACTGATGGGATAGGAAGACTTCATACACTACATACTTGATTAAAAAGGTGGTTCTAAGTCCAGACTTTCAGGGTTTGGACTAAAATGCAGTTACGCATCCCCAGGGGCATCAAAAGGCATGCATACATTTTGTATCAGTCAGAGAGTAGGCAGTAAACTTGACACTATAGGGCTGCATCTGGAATACTGCATCCAGTTTTAGGTCTCCAGTACAAGGAGGATGTTCACATACATAGGAAGACCTAGCAGTAGCCTTACAGTACTTTTAGGGACGTTATTGAAAGATGGAGCCAGGATTTTTATGGAGGTGCACAGTAGGAGGACAAGAAACCATATGTAGAGACAGCAAAGGTCTCAACTGGATTATAAGAAAAAAGGTAGTTGTGGGATGATTAGCATTGGAACAGGCTGTCCAGAGAGATTATGGAATCAGTTGTTGGAAGTTTTCAAGACCAACTGAAGCAAGTGCCAAGCAACCTGGTCTCAATACTAAAGCACTGACCCTGGTCTGAGCAGGAAACCAGACTACAGACTTCCCCAAAGCCCCCTTCAGACTTAGTGATCTATGATTCTGCACAAATCCCAAATTCAATCCAATAGAGCATCTCTCTGGTCTCTCAAACTAACATATAAGAGCATTTTAGAATAGATAAAACCTTTCTGGAAAAGCAAATTTCACTTGCTTACTTAGGAAAACTAGAATGATAAATCAGATTATTTTTATAAGCATAATAAAGGTAATTCCCGACTTTTTTAACTCATCACCACCACAAAAATAAAAGTGATAATGTTATGACAAAAATCAAATGAGGACACACACACCCCCAACCTGATTTCTTGTAGAAAACCTTTTACCAGTTGCAGTGCAGGAGAGAGGATCAGACAATCAATTTTCCTTTCAGTATGCAAAAAAACTTTGGAGCAAAACACACAATTTAACCATTCCCACACATGACAAGCCACAAAAAAAACAATTCACCAAAAAACTATTCCATTCTCTTAGCAAAGTTTAAACCTTTCCCACAGAAGCCAAGCGCTGTAAAATCCTACAGTGTTTCACGGGACAATAAGAGAGGTTTATGGCACCACCAATATTCTAGGTCATTGCAATAATGAGGAATCTCTTCAGTGAAGATGGAGTGGATGACAGTCTGCAACTAAAAAGGAAAGGAAAGGGAAAAAAATTATCCATTCCAATCTAATATACTAAGAAATGTCTTTCTTACTCCACATTTGGCAAGTGCTTTGGCTTTTTAAAGACAAGTAAAATACACTAACCAAAGGCTAAGTGTATCATTCTCTCTAATTTGGGCCAATTTTCAATGCTTTGAAGATAAAGGGGAAAACTCCAGAGCCAAATTATACCTCAAGATGTTAAGAAAAAATATATCAGGTTTGGCAGGAGCCTTGAAGCTTGGGATTCCTACATTATCCATTTAGCACAATAAACAGGATCAAGGACTTGAAAATGACAACAAATAAGAAGTCTACAGACTTTGCAAACTGTTTCACTCACAGGCAATTCTCCTCTTGAACCCGGTATGACCAATGTAACTCAGTGTAGTAAACTCAGCTTCGTAAAAAATCTCCAAGCAAATAAAACAAAGCTGTTTTCAGAATGTGGTATGGCAATACTATTAAATAAATAAACAATTGCATGTACTTTTTTGACAGCAAAGAAATTTCTTAGCTGTCAAACACACATTTAATATAGTTTCAGCTGAATAATAAACAGAATACATAACTCTGAAACCTGAAGTTATACACTTAACTGAAGGCAAGACAAATTTCTCTCAGTCCTCCCATAACAGAAACCAAAACAGCATCCATCACCATGTTGCCAGGATATCAGACACATAAATCTCACTGTTCTCTGTCTTAACAGTTTTCAGATATACTTAACTTCAGATACCATTAACAAGTGTGTAAATATGCTCACCACATTTCAGACCCAAATAACATAGTTCAAACCCAAGAGAAACAGAATGACCACAGCCTGGCTGCTTCTTAGGTTAGGGGTGGGAATGAATAGAGATCTCAGCCAGGAACTTTGCCAAAATTTCCTTAAGACGGGTATGTCTGTATCATAAATAAATGTCAGTGAGAGTCCAGACCAGAATCTGAGGAGCTCCGTGAAGTGTCTGGAAAATTCACACTACACATGGTCAATGGAAACATCCCATTGACTTTAGCAACTCCAGCCTTTCCCTTCTCCTGATGAGTAAGACAAAAGTCACAATCACATATCGCCATCTAATTAAGAGGGAAGAGAAGAACAGTTATAGTAAACACACTATCAGTAAGAAATGAAGTCAGGAATGCTTTGTTTGCTTTCTTGAATATGAAAGATGTGAAGCAAGTTTTAGTCCTGAGTAATATAATAATAATGGCCAGTCTTCGCGAGCGAAGATCCGGGGAAGGTCTTTACACCTTCCAGCCTGCGCATTGGATTTTTTAGGTGAGACACAGTGTGCGCGGAACTGAGCCCACCCTTTAATCCTAAGGTTCATCTGCCGGGGCCAAGCGAGCTTGGACGGTGGCAGCGAGGTCCTTAGGATGTAGGTGGGTTGCCTTTAAGGGCTAACGAGCCCCACCTGCCCGGGAGTGGCCCTGAGCGGGAATCGAACCCGGGTCTCTAGTCCTGAGTAAGTCTCAACATAACATGCATGTAGGGCCTTACTTAAGTCAAAGCCTTTTTCCCTCCACACACCTGGAGAAGACAAGAGAAAACTAATGAGCATGCATTGACTCAATGATTTGATGCATGGAATTATTCAAAGTCATCTTCAAAACAGTGAAGGGCCTGAACTGTGCAGCAAAGTGGATTGCTTTTTTGCATTCTGCCCTTTCTGTCATCTGCTACTCGTAAATCAGGACTGGTTTTATTTTTGACAGCACTAGATTTTTCAGGATCATTCTGTTTTCAGAAAGACAGGCCCAAGCTTTGTTACTTGGACTTTAATTGTTTTCAGAATTATCACCTGCAGCAAATGCCAGATCCCAGACTACTTAATCTTAGAGCTCTTACAGTGAGAACAACTACCAAAAGAAGTAGTCTTCAAATCTGAGGTTGATAACATTGTGGTCACTTGGCAGATTTCTGCTGCTAGGAAAACCAACAGCCAGGGACTTGCCACCAAAGTGTGGCACATCCAGCACATCCTGCATGTGATTCAGCTGAGGCTCAGTTTGGTATTTTGTCTCTAGTTTCAAAGAGGAGGAGAGTGCCTTCCTTAGGATCGCTGCTAACTGGAAAATGAGGGGTAAGACCCCAGCACGGACTTGGAGTGGAACAAGTAGCAGGCAGCTTGTAGAGTGCAGGAGAAACAAGCTGACATTACTACGATTGCCTTCAATGCTGAGCTTGGATGGCAATTTCTGACTTCTGAATTTTCATTCCTGACTAAACATATTCTTGGATGTTTTTAATACAGGGATCAAAGATTCAAATTCTAGGACTGCCTGACCACCTAGCAAAGGAAATGTATCCAGGCCAATGTTTCTCTTAAATCTTTCATTTTACATTAGTTCCTAAGGAAGGTGTAACTCGTTTGTGTGTCACGTAATTGGTTTCTGCTACTGTGAAATCACTGTATTACTGGCAATAACCGCCCTCCTGAGGTTATTTGTATTACATCTTTCAGAAACATTTTCTGTACAAACTATCCTTCATCACAGTATGCAGATCTTTGGAGTACTTAGATATTCATATCAGGTTGTGTTAAATATCATTATAACAAGAGAATCACTTAAAAGATACACTGTGAATCAAAGCAAAAAAACCCATGAAAAATCTGCTGCTGCTACAGCAAGTCCCCAGTGATACAATTTTCCGTATGCTAATGGTGCAATATAAATCAACGCAGAGGCAGTCTCTTAAAATAAGCATATGCTACCCCTGCTTTCTTGTATCAAGTCACACAATATTTTCAGTTGAACTTGTTGCTTAACTACTAGCACACCTGGGTAATACTGTTCCCAGGCAACAGCATATAAGCACAACAAGAATAAAGCAATGGAAATTTCAATGTGGTGTTTTAGTAGAAGCCTTCTGAGAAGGAGAGGAAAATTGGGAATGTAAGGTATTCAAACCACAAAACTGAAGGCATTAAGAGAACTTAATCCTGAAGAGGGTAAATACTTAGGAAAATATCAAAGAGAAAATAAAACCAATTATGAGAACATTACAGTTAAAAATAGACAATAGAGCATCTGTTTTCATGAAGATACGTAAATATGTGTAAGAGAGACCATGTGTCATCTTAGAAGCTACCAAGATTACTAGCGTAAAACAGTGTTTACCCAGGAGTGACTGTGAACTCTTTTCTGTGGGCTTCAGAGCCATCAGGAGCACCTGCACAATTGCTGCGGTTTGGAGCTGCTGAGCTGCGCCAGGACTGTGGGCTGAGGAGCCCTCTGAGGCCAAGGAGAATTTTGGCCTCTAACAGATGTCCTGAAATCTGTGCAAGTCCAAGGAGATCAAGAGACTAAGCAGGCTGAACTTCTTACCCGCTCCATCCTCTGAGATTTGGGGAAAACTTGAAGCACAGTTTCCAAAGAAGCAGTGAAGGCATGGAGGATGGTATTCCTGTTCTAAGAGCAACCTGGCACATGGAAGGAGGCCTGGGTTTAAAAACTAAGTAGTTAGGCTTGGATTTAGTTAGATATCATAAAGCAGCTGCAGGGGGAGAGGTGGAGAATGTTGGAGTAAAAAAAGCCCCAGCCTCTCTCACCACACACTTTCTTCCATCTGTGTCTCTCCAGCTTTGAAAAAATTATTCTTAGGAATCTTGCAGTGTGGTGAAAGCACATAAAGGCTGAGCTCCTGAGAGAAGTCAGTATTGCTGCTGTGCACAAAACCCACACCTCTGAATATCTTCAGATTCTATTTTAAGATTAAAAACTGGCATGGGGAGCCCATTCTACCATCATTAGTTGTGCAATTTCCATTCTATGTGTACATTTACACAAATCTATGATGTGGTTTACAGAGCACAGCTATGTCTAGTTCAGTTTGTTAAGCCAAATCATTCACTTATGAATCATAACTGAATTTATTTCATTAATGGATGCATCGGAGTCTGAGGTCCAAGGAGCATCAAGAAACATTCTGCCCCTTCCTAACACTGTGGGTGGCTCCCACCAAGCAAGTTGCAGAAATGGGTGTATGTTTGTAGTGTAGCCTGTCAGACTGCAGTGCCTTAGGAGGGGGACAGGCTGTGGGGTAGCTCTGTGTACATTGGGTGGGAGCCACGAGTGACACAGTGGAAAGGCCTGCGCCACCTGGCAAGGGAGTAGGGCTGCGAGGCGTGGGGATGAAGAGAATGGGGATAGTAAAGGCCGAGACTACTAAGATGAAGCTGGATGATACTGCCACATTGAAGGAGCAGGACCATATATTTGACTCTTGTGACAATGTAGAGAGGCAGGGTAGTTGATGGGGGAAAAGAGCAAAGTATATGGCAACTAGTTAAAAATAGGGCACTGGGTATGGCGGTCTAACTGTAACTGGATCAGCACACAGAACATAGTGTAAGCCTGCACACTTCTGGCTGCAGATGGGAGAGGAAGAAGAGGGAGGTGCCAACTTGGAGACCTTCAAAGCCGTGAATAGAAATAGAGCTGGTTCCTGAGCTTATATGCATGTTAATCACTGAGTGCATTGCCACAAGACTGTAAAAGGAAAAGCACTTGTTATGTCACCACAGTGTGATACTGGAACAGAATTGGACTCCTTACACTTTTAAAATATGTATTTATGTGCCTTTTTCATTTCCTATTCTTATTATTTTAGTGCACTAGTGCACTGTGATCTAAATGCATAATTAGTAACATAAATTTAAATACATATATAGCCTGGGGGTCCTGGTGGACAACAAGCAGTTCATGAGCAGCAGTGTGTCCCTTTGGCCAAGAAGGTCTGATGTACATTAGGAGGAGCATTGACAGCAGCTCGAGGGCTCCTCAGTACAAGAGAGACACGGAGCTCCTGGAGCAGGTCAGGCACAGGGTGATAAAGGCAATTAAAAGACTGGAACATCTCTGTTATGTGGAAAGGCTGAGGGAACTGGGCCCATTCAGCCTCAAGAAGAGACAAATGAGAGAGGCCCTTATCAATGTCTGTAAGTATCTGAAGGGAAGGTGTCAAGAGGATGGAACCAGGTTCTTCTGGGTGGTGCTGAGCAATAGGACAAGAGGCAACAGGCAGAAACTGATGCATAGGAAGTTCCACCTGAACATGAGGAAGAACTTCTTTACAATGCAGGTGACTGCACACTGAACAGGTTGCCCAGAGAGGTTGTGGAGTCTCCCTCACTGGAGATATTCAAGAACTGTCTGGATGCAATCCTGTGCCATGGGCTCTAGGATGACCTGCTTGAGCAGGGAGCTTGGACCAGATAACCTGCTATGGTCCCTTCCAGCCTTACCCAATCTGTGATTCTGTGATTCTTTAGCTCAGCAAGATAACATCTGTCCCCACAAGTCCAGAAGATACTGTGCTACTTTTTCTGATACTGATAACATCGAGCAGTAAGAGTTACTACCATTGAAACACAGACATATTGTAAAAGTCATTTAACTAGCAAGCAGCAAAATGTAAAATTTTCTAAGATGGATTAAGTTAATCTTAGTATGGTGTTTCTTGAATTTTGCATGAGATTTCTGTAAGGTACTTACCGGAAGACTCAAAAATTCATTAAAATAGTCCACAAGCATATCATCTGTGGCTAAGCATTCTTCCTACAGAGAGAAAAAACCACAAAGCAAGGCTTGTAGTAATCTGTGCTAATACGGTTTGAGTGCACTATTCCCTCAAACAGTATTTTTTCCATGAGATATATTATTTCCCACTTTTGAGAATCTAATCATTGCATCACTGTTGTATTCCAACCATTGCACACTCCTGAGATCCTTAGCAATTTAAAAAACATAAACAAAGGTAAACCCTTGGTGAATAAATTTACAGATAAAGCCTTCATAAACTCAACAGCTTCTAAACGCTGACAACCTGGATGTTTATTTTGGAAAAAATGTGCTTAAGCTAACAGTCTAGAAATTCCCCACATTGTACCTTTCTCTCTTTCACTTGGAAAAAAGGAGCATCCACCAGGGCCACCTTCTGCTCTCACACTGCTGCTTGGGGATGTTTTGGGAATAAAAGGGAGTTCACTGACCTATATTTTGGCTTAACGAGCAAGCAGCGTATGCTGTCCTTTGAATCTGACAGAAATGGGAGGCTTCCTGTTGACCTCATCAGGAGTGAAGACTGCATCTGTGTTTTTGTAAAAAACACTGCAGGTGTTTTTGTATCCTTTCTGACCCCTGCATTTTAAATCCTGCTAACAAGACTCAAAAAATTTTGAATAGAAATTAAATTATTTTGCTGTCGACAAACCCAGTATTATAGATCCAGATCTTACTTCTACTGTATAGTAGTATATTGAGTATATATTTAGTATATATATATATTGAATATATATACTCAATACCACCACCATCCCCGTTTCAGTTCAATAGAGGGTAAAAGTAGAACATCATTCCATTGGTCTTCAGATATGTATCTTCAGTATAATGAAGACACTTAACTATTTTTTATAGTTTCTAGAACATTCTATTATTTCTGCCTTGCAAGGCAAGGAAAATGCACCTAAGTCTGATGCATTTGCCAATATCAGCAAAGGTCTTGTGACACAAATCTTGTTTCTCTTTCTTAAGTTCATAGATTGAACTGCACTGGTGAGGAATAGCATTAAAGAGAGGTTATGTACAGTGTACATGGTATCAGGTATAGACAGGCAGTATCTTGATCCAAACCTCACTGGCATAAACAGAGACAGCTCAGGCTCAGGTAAGGAAGAAATCTGAGCTAACATACTTTAATATGAACTCAGGAAGACCACTGTGTGCTGCAGGACAAGTCAGAACCAGACTTGATGGTGTTTGCCTGGCCCTAATCTGCCAACATTTATTCCTTAGCACTTGTGGTTGCTCTTGTGACTGATACAGGACAGGCAAGTTAGCTCATGCTCTTCCCTAGAAAATGCTGACAATGCTGAAAGCAAAGCTTTCTGCATTACAGAGGTTGTGCTTTATTTGAACCACAGGCCCGTGGCCCAGTGTAATTGCAGTACCATGGACCTAGAGATGTTTGGGCACTGATTAAACAGGAGAAGTTTTTAGGACTATGCAGGTAACATGTGTTTTTAATTTCCCAAGGATATAATACTCTGTAGTCCCATATAACAGCAAGAAATGTAAACACAGTGGTTGATTAATCAATAAAATGTTTATGATCTTATTAATGCAAGCTTTACTACTCACTGATCTTACTGCGTCCATACACAATAGACTTTCCTCTGGTTTTTGGAGGGTTCTTTGTAGACAGTCTTATTTGAAATCACAGTTGCACTTTCATATTTGCACATGATAGGTTTTGGAGTTGCATGTACAATAGTATAGCTTAGATTTTTCTGTTAGGAAGTGTTTTGTTTCATCTTCCCTGCTGCACAGTCTAAATTATCACTATAAAAAGCTGCCTTTCATGAAGAATTGCAACTGGAGGTTAAGATGTGCTAAAAATTGGTCCAAAACTGTTTCATGCAATTTTTTTTGAATAGGAATATCTTGAGCCTGATTTCTATCACTCTTTCAACATTGAAAGGAATTTTAAAATCATTTTGCAATGGTAGACAATAATTTCTTAGGTATTTTCTGGAAACAAATCTAATGACTTCTATCTATAGCATTTCATACCTTTCTCTATTACTGCCATCATGAAAAAGTACAGAAACACAGAAATATTATTAGACATCAAAGGGGAACTTGAATGTGGATAAAAGCAGCACTATATTGCAAGATTTGCATTTCATGTTGCAGCACCCACTAAAATGATAAATACCTCTCCACTCTTGACAAATATATAAAAACATGACATCTTTAAATGTCAAAAGCTAAAAGTTAATATAAAACCCTATACTAAATAGAACTCTGACAGCTTCATGCCTGTGTGTGAAGTTTACCTGGAGTCAGACATATCTAGTCATATTAAGGAGCCTGCAGAATCCAGGTTTAATGCAATCTAAATATGCAGTTAGGAGATGTTCTCATGTACATACTTATATATGTCAAGTACCTTTTATGTATAGAATCATAGAATTATAGAGTTATTTAATTGTAAAATATCTCTAAGATCATAAAATCCAACTGCTAACCTGGCACTACCAAGCCCACCCCTAAACCATGTCCCCACGTGCCACATCCACATGCCTTTTAAATACCTCCAGAGATAGTGACTCAACCACTTCTCTGGGCAGCCTGTTCCAAAGCTTGACAAAACTTTTGGTGGTGAAATTTTCCTAATATTCAACCTAAACCTCCCCTGGCACAGCTTCAGGCAATTTCCACTTGTTCCTATTGCTTGTTACTTGGGAGAAAAATAGCTGCATCTGCAAACTTGCTAAAGGTGCGCTTCATCCCCTCATCTAGGTTGCCAATAAAGATATTAAATAGGACTGGCCTCAGTACCGATCCCTGGAAAACCCCAGTAGTGGCCAGCGTCCAAGTGGATTGAAGTCACTTCATTCACCACCATTCCCCAGGCCTGGCCATCCAGCCAGGTTTTTTACCCATCAAACAGTGCACCTGTCCACATCATGGGAAGCCAGTTTCTCCACAAGAATGCTGTGGGAGATGCTGTCAAAGACTTTACTGAAGTCCAAGTAGACAGCATCCATAGCCTTTTCCTCATCCACTAAATGGGTCACCCTGTCAAGTGTGATAAGATTTGTCAAGCAGGATCTGTTTTTCCTAAACCCACACTGGCTGAGCTGATCCCCTGGTTGTCCTGCACATGCCAGTGTTATGGCACTCAAGATGATCTGCTCCATGACATTCTCCAGCACCAATGTTAGGCCGACGGGCCTGTAGTTCCCCAGATCCTCTTTCCAACCCTTGCTATAGAGGAGCTTCACATTTTCCAACTTCTGTCACTTGGGACCTCCCAGCTGACCAGGACTGCTGGTAAATGATTGAAAGTGCCTCAGCCAACGCTTTCACCATCTCAGTTAGTACTCCTGGGTGAATCCCACTTGGCCCCATGGACTTGTGCAGGTCTAAGTGGCATAGCAGGTCACTGGCCATTCCCTCCCGGATTATGTGGGCTCCATTCTGCTCGCTGTGTCTGTCTTCCAGCTCATGGGCACCTTGACAATTATTAGTCTTGTTATTAAAGACTGAGGCAAAGAAGGTATTAAGTACCGCAGCCTTTTCCTCAGCCTTTGTCACTATGTTTCCTCCCACATCCAGCAAAGGATGAAGATTCTTCTAGGCCTTCCTTTTGTTGCTGATGTATTTCTAGAAACACTTTCTGTTGTTTTTACAGCTGTGGCCACATTAAGTTCTAGCTGGGCTTTGACCTTTCTAATCTTCTCCCTGCATGACCTCACAACATCCCTGTGATACTCCTGAGCTGCCTACCCCTTTTTCTCACCGAGTTCCAGCCAAAGTTCTCTTGTTCTTCTTCACTGCTGGGTTGTCTTTTGGCCTGCTCCTCTACCTTTAAGATTTACATATAGTTACGTATTTATATATACGTATATTTACATATTCACAAATTTATATACACCTTTCAAATGAGAAGGTAAACATCAGGGAACTTCTACAATGCGCTATGAGCAAAGAGCAGAAAATGTAAAGTAAGGAGACTGTTAAACCTGTCATGCTGAACCTTCCAGCTGATTGTTTCCTTCCTTCATCCTAATTCTCTTTCTTTTCCATTTCCATCTTTATTCTCCACAGTTGCCTGTTATTATTTTTTCTAATTATTTTAAAACTAAGTATTGTTTTATCTGAGAAAATTATAAGAAATTACTCAGTACTCCATACTTACAAAGGAAAGAAATGAGAAAACAGACAACAGTTTCCAAAATCGGGTTTTTTTGGTTTTTTTTGCTCTATAGCTGCACAACAAAAATAATGATCAAGCCTTATAAAGCATACTTACGAACACTTCTTCTGTTATACACGGAGGTTCTGAAAAACATAAATGAAATATCATATGTTATCCAAGCAATACAGTCAAGCTGGTTCAACTAGGATTACAATACAGGAACAAAAAGTAGTGAGGCATGACACCCTTTCCTGGATATTCTGAAATAAAATAACTTAGCCTGAGGAAATAAAATAAACTAAGCACATGCAGTAATGTTGACCCATGCATAAAAAGGTTAACTACCACAAGAATGATTTAAATATCATTCAAGTAGTATTTAACTATATTACTTCTCATACGTATCAGTTAACTTCTTGTCAGCTTTCCTTTGCAAAATTGATTAGTAGATGTTTGGTGGTTTTAATGAAAATACAGATTTGTATGATGGAGCTTTGAACAGCAAATACTAAGAAACATCTGATAAAATTGAGATGATAAAATTCTGAATGTTCCCAGATAACCAAATCTCACTCATTCTAGGAGAATATCCTGTCATTTGTGATGCCATTGGAAGGCAGTGAAGTTCTCTCTGCAGAGTGATTAATTCCGCTGGGCAAGTTTAAACCTGGCAGTTCAAAATCATGCTCTTTCATGTCCCTGTCGGTGCCTCCGTCTCGTCTCTGTGCCTGGGGCCGCCACCGCGGGGCCGGGCACCTCGTCTGACACGCATCCAGCCCACACCCCGCGTGGAAACTGCGACGTACCTGTGGTAAGCCTCTTCGACTGCATCGTGGAGCTGCCCACCTGGGCCGCGGAGGAGCCACCTCGGAGGGCAGAGCAGCAGGAGCGGCTGCGGAGCCGCCGGGCCGGGCCGGGCCTGCGGGCGCCGCGGGCAGCGCGGCGGGGTTGCCATGGCGGCCAGGGCAGCGCTCCGCCCGCACCGCCCGGCCCGGAGCCCCGGGGATGAGCGTCCCAAGGGAGGTGCCCGAGAAACAGGAATCCGAGGATACTTGTAGCCAGGAATGGACTTCAACTCTCCCGGAATGTCGGTTTCTTCCCCGGCTCGAGGGGGTAACTCCAGAGTATAAGAAAAAAAGACACGTTTCTGGAATGATCAGCGAAAGCTGCGTGTAAGGAAGGAATTCAGGCTCCTATCAGAGGGTTTTAGGTATTCCACAACTGGGACCTGTTAAACCTGGGATCCTACCTAGCGAGTATCTGATACTAGAACTGTGTAAATCCTTCAGGGGCTTTTGACATGAAAGTTCTCTCAAAGATTCTCCACTGCTGCTTATTTCCAGACCAGCACTGCTTTTAGTAGCTTGGCAAAAACCCTGCTAGGATCAGTTGTACAAGATGTCATGTATGCAAGTTACGTGAAGGGCTCCTTTGAGAGGCCAATCCATCACCTGGGCACTCAGGAAGTGCCCAAAGTGCACTGAAACCTTCCCATTCCCAGCAAAATCTGTCATTTGTGCCCCCTTTCACGGAACAGTACGGTGTCTCCAGTCATACACCTCAGCTGTGAAAAAAAGTTCTATTTTAATTCCTACATGACTTTAGTGGAATTCATTATTAAGTAAGAACTGCACATGCTCAGGGACTGCAGCCTAGAGTCCAGAAATTGATGGTTTTCAAAGGGAACAAGCAGCAAATCAAATATAATTGAGGCAGGGAAAATGGCTTCATCTCCTAGGAACAAATGATATTTTGCACCCTCTACTCCAGATGTTTATTTCCACTCCTTGGGGATGCCTGCCCAAATACCACAGTCACTGCTCTAGTTGCTAAGTATCAGAATGATACTTCTAATTTTCTTAGTGTAATATTGTTAGGTGTCTGATCAGTTGTTTTAGGGTGTTTTGGGTTTGGCTTTTTTTTCACTTAGGGGGAGAAAAGTATTTCCAAAGACCTAAGAGATTAGCTGAATAATGTCTTAGTCAAGATACACATTTCAGTCAAAAGTTTCCTATATATGCGAAGAGCATATTCAAGAGAGGCAAAGAATAAAATATAAAAATTCAAACAATGAGCTATAGACAATTTAAATATTATTACTCTGATGAAGTATTAACTATTCTTAAGTTCTCTGTATGTGGATTCTATTCAATAAGACATGACAAACAGTAATTTAACACTTAATGGCATACATTTAAGCACACACTTTACTAGTGCCATGTATCAGGACACGTTCTATTTTCACTATGAAATATTTCAAATAGGTATTCCTAATGTATATGTAAGAAAAATATGCATTGCAAGATAGCCCATAAAAGGTAAAGTTAAACCTTTGCAACAGGTAGGAGAACTCTACTCCACTGTATCATCTGGCTGGATTGTCTCATAACCAAGCTACTTAATATGATTGTAACTTTAGGCTAATGTTGATTTTACTCATTTTCCCCTGCCCTTTTTCTTTCTGATGTAGATGTAAACATAGCCTTTGGTGTATAACTTTCTCCTAAACTTCCCTAGTTGCTTGGTTTTTTTAAGAAACAACAATGGAAACATGACAGAATATGTCGGTTTTTTGGGTTTTTTTAATTAGAAGTGGAAGCTACAAGTCAGCTTAGATAGAATTGAAGTCTGGAAAGGATTCAATTAATAATAAAATAAAATAAAATAAAATAGTCCTTTTTCTCTCCTTCTGTCATCTACTATATTTTGATATAAAACTCTTAGGTCTTTGTGCTCTTTGTCATGTGCTTCAAAGATGGCATTTTGGATTAAGCTCATCAGGAAATACACTCTGTACTCTCTCATGGAGAAGCTGTCAGCAGTCATCATCACTTTCTCATTATCTTACTTAACAACACACACTTAGGTCAAATACTTCATGTATATGCATTTCAGTCCTGATTTTATATTGCCAGTTGAAAGTTCACCAGCTGGAGAAGCTGAGATATAAAGATTAGGCTCATTTTCCTCATTTTTCTCTTTCCATGCTCTTCTTTTAATCTTTGTTGTTATTTATCTTAGGAAAAGTACAGGCATACAGAATGTTTCATAAATATAGTCAAAGCCATGATCTATCCCAAAACATATCTGGTCTTGTAGAAAAAAATAAATGGCTAGATAGGAGGGAGAATAAGTACTAAAAAAGATACCAGTAAAATACTAGACAAAGAAAGGAAAAATAGTAAAAGCATGTTTAAAATTGTTTGATTTTTTTTTTAGAAAATGCTAATCTAGAAGAAGGCCAGCACAGGAAGAGATATGGACAGGAAGACAAGTGAAGGAAAAACATAAATGGATCCCCTTCGTACCTGCTGGCATCTTCCTCTACTGCTCATTACTGAAGAGCCGTTTGGAAAGGTGAACGTTCAGTCAAGACTTCAATCTGTCATTTCCTCCATAATTTTCTGAAATTCATGCTTTCGGCTATTTATCAGGGAGAATGTTTAAAAATATCACCCAGGCAAAACAGACCAAAACTGCTGAGACAACTTTGCAATCAAAGAACCACAAGTATAAGCTGTGCCAGCTTGTTGGGTGACCAAGTCTCCTTGGGACTTGTGCAAATAAAGACAAGAGATAAAATGGATTGTTTTATTAAATCCAAATGTGTGCTTGTGTTTTTAGGTATGAAACAGTGTTTGATTCCTGGCAGTGGTCACAATGAAATCCTGAACTTTCTCATAATTAATTACTAATTCAAAAGGAAGCAAATACTATTAACAAAAATGCAGATACACCTCTAGAGAGATTCTCAAAGACAGCTATTGATTTTCAAGAGAAATGCCCCATCTCAAACATAAGTGGACATTTCTTCATGTGATATCTTTAATACCTAAATATCTTTACAGAAATCCAACTTTTTATAACTAATGTTTCTTTTTTTTGTATGATTACCACATAGATTTTAGCTTTGCATATGAAAGCAGCGAGCTCATAAACTGAAGACAGGTGCTAGGAAACCTATTTAAATATTGACTGCGGAAGTGCAAAAATGGGAGTCAGACACTGAGAGGGAAGTACAAATTGATTGTCACATAGCTGGCCCTAAAATGCCTTAAATTATTCTGTTGGCAAAACACCAGAGGCTGCCTCTTGTGATGGTACAGCCTCTGTATTGAATCTGATAGTTCTAGTCTACTCACACTGTTTAATGCAATTCTGTGGTTGTCAGAAAAAGTTAATGCAAAGACCTAAGGAAATTGTTATGTAAAATAATTATAAAAGGAGAAATAATTATAAAAGGAGAAAAAAAAACCTTCTGAAAGATAGCCTAGGTGAAGAGAAAAAAGTGTTTAAAAATAGAATAGGATGAGTGCCAATGGCATCCCAGTCTGTGTCAAAAATAATGTGGCCAGCAGGACAAGGGCAGTGATTGTCCCCTTGTATTCAACACTGGAGAGGCCGTACCTCAAGTCCTGTGTCCAGTTCTGGGCCCTTCTCTACAAGAAAGACATTGAGGTCCTCAAGTGAGTCCAGGGAAGGCCAGCAGAGCTGGTGAATGGTCTGGAGCACAAGTTTGATGACAAGTGGCTGAGGGAGGTGGGGTTGTTTAGCCTGGAGATGCTCAGGGGGACCCTCGTCTTTCTCTTCAACTGCCTGAAAGGAGGTTGTAGGCAGGTGGGGGTGGGGCTGTTCTCCCAGGTAGCAGGCAATAGGACAAGAGGAAATGGCCTCACGTTGTGCCAGAGGAGGTTTAGATTGGACAGTAGGAAATAAATCTTCACCAAAAGGATGTCAAGCACTGGAATAGGCTACACAGGGAAGTAGCTGAATTGCTACCCCAAAGGTATTTAAGGGTTGTGTGGATGTGGCACTTACAGACATGGTTTAATGGTGGACTTTGCAGTGCCAGGTTAAGGGTTGGAATGGATGATCTTAGAGGTCTTTTCCAACCTAGAGAATTTTATAATTCCAGAAATAGTAAAGGAAGAAATGTAACTTAGCTTTGGGCTATCAACATTAGAAACCTTTCACTGTTGGAGGAGAGTTTCAGTGGGAAGTCCAAAGAGCTTGACCTCTATAAAAGTCTTTATTTGGATAGTCACTGGAGGATACTTTTTGACTTTTCCATGCTGTCAACAGCCCAAGGATTCCTATAACAATTTTATTCTATCAGGACCACGTAGAGGTGTTTTATCAAATTTAAAGGCTTTGAGTAAGGTAAGGTTTGATTTCCATTTGCCTAACATGGGTCTTGGTCTTAAGTAAGTGGGTTAAGTAAGGTCCCATGCAAGAGGCATATGAAGAAGCTTCAGCAGACAGGAATAACATGTGCCAATAGTGTCAAACTCCTTTAGGAAATCATTTCCTGGCAGTAGGTGTCATATACCCAACAAGAAACACTAAATGCATGTGTGTCTTCCCAGTCTTACTATCAGACAGGTGTCAACAACAGTCCTCAAACCCAGGATTCCCCAGCTAAGTTATCCATATAAGATATTGCTGATGCAGCAAGCCTGTGGATAACAGCACTGCTGTTTGTGACAAAACATCCCACTGACCACCGGTTACCACCTTTTTGGGTTATACTGCCATGGCTGCTGTGGAGTTCTATAATGAAGCAGGTTGGGGAACTGATCCAGGGGAGAAAAAAAATTCAGAAGAAAAAAAGAAAAATATTTCATGTTCATCAGCTTCCAGAACAAAGCTATGTCCACTCAACAGGTGCTGAGAATTGTATAAAAATCCATAACTAATAGATTCTTCTTAAGACTTCAGTAATGCTTCAGAAAAGCATACAAAATTACAGCATACAAAATTTCTGGGTATTCTACTTTTCCAACTACCTATTGCTCTGTTGGATTCCAGAAGTGCCTAAGTAAAGAATAAAGAACATATTAAGTTACCAAATTCTCACCCAGTCTTCCTTTAAGACACTAAAAATAAAAAACCCAAACAAACAAA